TTTGTAAGCATATCAATTCAAGGGAAAAACTAACATTTACACAGCAGAGGAGAGTGCTATTTGATCTTATGCAATATAAACGTTAGCTTTCCCCTTGAATGGAGATGCTTGTAAATTGTCCTGATTTATGTTAAGCAAAGCTTCAACAAGATGTGTCTTTTTTTTTAGCCGTAGTCAACTTCTGTATTACCAAAAACTACTTGTATCTACTGACTGTCTTGACCTCACTTCCAGCTAATGTTTTACTCCAAATACCCATCTATCTTGGTTTGTACAGGGGTCTCATTTCTTTAATGGATATTTTATGGAAGATAGAGACTCTTGATTATTGGATTTTCTTGAAAATATACACAATTAGTGTTTGGACTCTTGCATTTTTAATTTCAACATACATGAGCACCTTAGACAGAAAATAGCTTTTACTTTGAGAGCCTGATTTCCAAAATTTGTAGATTATCCCTACATTACAGGCAGAGATGATAACAATGCAACCAGATTCTGAAGGATTAAACTAGATCAGTGTTTGCCAGGTGCAATTCATTGTAGATAAATAGGACTTTAGTGCAAAAAATAAAATCAAGAGTGGGCACAAACTGGAATAGTTGTGCAGCGTGATCGAGAGATTATAGGAGTTGTACAAAATCTAAAATGCCATTAGCACAACACATTTCTAATTATAAAAGAAAATGGAAAACAAAAGTAAAGCACTGCACTTAAAAAGTGCAAATCTACATCAGTGCTAGAATGGTCATGTGAACTGGCTTGAGGAAAGCTGTGTCATTAAGACGGTCATAAAACAAACGGAGAGAACTGGGCAGAAGTGCATCACTTTGGTGGCAATAACTATATCAGTGAAATGCAGATAGAGCAAAGCTCTTGTTGGAGACCGCTTGCTGATTAAACTGCATCAAAGAATGGTTAGACTTTGCCAGAAGAAAATAGAGTGAAGAAAGAATGTGGGACTGCACATGGTGCTACATACATGCTAAGTGAGAAATCAGTGACATTTACCTTTTTATTAAATATTTTAAACGTGTTATTTTTCACAAAAGTCACAAATGTAAGTAACTCCACTAGTTAAAGTGTAATTTACAGATTCTGAACATAATTTGCTTGTTAATTCATTAACTTATGCTGATTTGTTGTTTTGTAGTTAGAGTTAAAAAGGTGAAATCTTGTCCATTGGTTTTTTCTGTTGGGGTCAGTTGAGAAGTTCAGTTGTTTCACATTATTGGTCTCCAATCAGGTCACCTGAGGATCATAACACCTATACTAAAACCATTTACGCATTTCCCTAAAATTATGCACAACAGCTTGAGTCACATTCTGGTACAAAACAGTTTTACCATCATAGCCAGAGAGCACAAGGAGAAATCCCAAAATAACTATTCTCTTTTATTTTCAGGTTAAAATTCTTTTAAAAATGGACAACCTTGTTGGATTCAAATAAACCAAAGAACTCCAGATACTGGAAATCAGAACCTGCTGGAAACACCCAGCAGGTCAGGCAGCATCTTTGGAGAGAAAGCAGAGTTAATGTTTCAGATCCTGTGACCCCTTTTCAGAACAGTGTTGTGAAGAGTGATCACTGGACCTGAAACGTTAACTCTGCTTTCTCTCCATAGACGCTGCTTGACCTGCTGAGTTTTTCTAGCAACTTCCAATTTTGCTGACTTCAAAATGGCCAAGGTCATTCACATAATCATATTTCCAGAAGCTTCTGAACCTCTGGCACTGTACAGACAACCTAGCTGAAGATGATATAAACTACTTGGAGATGAACCATCTGCTTCCACCTTGCTCTGGACAAAGGGAAACATCAAGCTCCATTATGCTAAACCTAGTGTTTATGATTTTAACTGTTAAGTTATTGCACCACAAAGGGAAATCTAATAAGGGAGGTAAAGCCACACTTAGCTAAATAGCCTTCCACCAGCCCATGGAGAATAGTGGGCTGCAGTTACCTGAAAGGCCTGTGTCCAATGACTGAAGTCTGAACTTGATGATTTGGTGAAACCTAGAAGTCGAGAATTCTAAATCAGCTGTTTGATTTTCACAGGAAAGGCAAAAAAAGCGTCATGTCTCAGGTCCTCCATCTGTCCAAGTTGTTGCCTGGGGGAAAATAATACTACACTTTGCTTGCAAGGAGGAAGAACTACAGGGCTCAGCTCATAGAGAAAACTACTTTTGGATACAGACTTCTGGGAAGTTGTGGCTCACCTGAATTGTTTTTTTTTAAAATTCCTCTGGACTTATCAAACTTGTCATTTATAATTGCTCTCCTTAATTTTGAGAGAGACAGTGGAGTAATGAAGCATTTTCCTCGTGTTTTGAATGCGTTGACAATAAACCCTATTTTTGATTTCATCTGAAAAGGCTTTAGCTGTGGGTTTACTTCAAAAACAAAATCAGAATCCAAAAGCCAGGGTTTGGAGAACATCTATCAGCATACCTCGGTAAGGAATGGGAGTAAAAAGGAAAAGTAGCAAATCAAACGATATCTCAATATCACAGGCTTGAGAAGGTAAAAGCATTTATAGTTTAAAATTTACCCTCATTCTGCATCCCTATGTCTGTACAAAAAACACCTGATAAGAGGGTAAAGTTGCTCAATGTATGCTGGGCATCTATACAAAATTAAACATTTCTTAAATTTGAAAAGGAACGGACAAAAATCACAAAAAAAAAAATCAGAATTCAATACAACATTGGTTTACGTACTCTAGCATCATTTGTCGGACTGTTGCAGACACCTTTTCCCTGGAATTGTCATTCCATATTAGCTCTGGGTTTTCATGCGTCCCCTCAAATATGTGCACAGATGCTTCAGGATTGTCCCTCATAGCATCCATGAAGACACTTGGTAGAAATTTGGTCAACGTGATTCTCACCTAAATCAGAGTTAATTATGGTTATTGAAACATTCAGCAGCATTTCATTGTAAACATCATTAACACAATGACACTGAAAACGTATCAATTAATGAGGTATTGTATCCCCAACTGCAGCTCTTCCTTTTCCATACGGCACAGGAGCATAAGTAGGCCAGTCAGCCCTTTGAGGCTGCTCGATGAGATCATGGCCGATCTGGTAATCCTCAGCTCCACTTTCCTGTCCTTTCCTCATAACCTTTGATTTTCTTACTGATTAAAAACCTATTTCTACCTTGAATACACCAGATAATTATAAGAGAGGTATGTGATATTTCTGTAAAACTAGTCTTTAAATAAAACAGAGTAATTTTATTTACAAAAAAAAAAGGAAGAAACCTGGGTCAGGAGTCCAGGGCAGGATGATTTGAATTGAGACGACCCTACATGAATTTCCTTTCTGGAGACTAATTCCATCTCTGCCATTTCTGTCCATTTAGTTACAAGATTTTCCAAAAAAGGATTAGCTAAACCCATACAGGAAAAGAAAACAGTAAGATAGCATTGCAAGAAGGAAACTCCTGCATCTCTTGAAACTCATCATCAAGCTCCACAATTGTTGCTAACTTTGAAATTGAACGAGTGGCCCCGGTCTATTGCTAGAAGGTTTCAGAAACTTGACAGAATGTGAAACAGGCTGGTGCTGTTTGGAAAAAAAGTAGAGCAGGCTTAATGGAAAGGACAAAAATAAACTGTCTAGTTTGGGTTGATAAAGGGTGGAAACAGTAGCAAAAGCCGATACAAAGTCCAACATTAATAAAAACAGACACCAAAATACCCAAAGACAAAACCTTCAAAGCTACACAGGTACTACTTACACAGTAAAAGCCTTGGTTACGCAACTCGCCACCTCAAATATACAGCATTAGTTATTTTGTTAAGAGACTGTTTCCTACAACAATCCGAAATTGCACACCAACAAAACCACCAGGAATACCAAGTTAAAAATAATTTGCAATACATCTTTGTTCATAAACATGCCTCGTCGTAGAAATGTAGAAAACAGGAGATGTAGGCCATTCCATTCTTTGAGCCTGCTCCACCATTAAATATGGCAATGCCTGATCATACTAGTCCAATTGTTTCATCTTTTTATAAAGCTATTAGGATTTTAAACAATTACACACCTTTGGTCCAATGAGTTTGTCTGTAATCATTTTGGCAAAGAGCTCTGCAGTCTGTGCTCGAACCTGAGGCTGAGTTGAATTACAAAACATATCTAATAGATATATAAGGGAACCTGCACAGAAGCAGAACAATAAATAACTTAATTTGCACTTCAAAATTAACTCACAAACAGAAGACAAAATTTCAAGATGGAAAAACATTGAGCTAGCAATTTAATAAGCACGTCAACCTCCCAATTCAAGAACGATTTCTTAAAGATGGAATTTTATTCAAGTTGAACAGATGACTTCAATGAGCATTTACTTAGCTGGTCTGGTCTGCTTGTGACTATAGACCACAGCAACGTTGTCGGCTCCTAACTGCCCTCTGGACAATTAGGAACAGGAAGCAAATTCTGGCCTAATTATGTTCTATGAAGAAATAACCAGAAAAAAATTGACAAAGAACAACTGAAGCTGTTGTTGAAGGCTTGGTATTCTATTATGTTGTAAATTTTGAACTCAAATTAGGAACCTGTGTGCAAACGTTTGAAGCGTACAATTAAATGCAGAAAAAGTCCTCTCTGTTCTGCTTGAGGTTTAAAAGAGTGCCGTTTAGTTTTAAAAGGTATTTCATCATTTTCTTCACTGGCAATTCAACCACACTCCTTTAGATATGCTTAGATAAAAAAATCCTGAATAAACTAGTGACAAAAATGGCATAACAACACAAGACCATTTCTAAACAGTAAGCAATATGATGTGTCAGGTTAATAAATCCTGGTGATCTACAGTTTGCTAAATGTAAACCTAATGTGTTAAGAATAACATGCACTTGTCAAAAACCATATTACTTCATTCGCTTTTGACGTTAATCCTGTTGAAAATATCTTCAGTCGCAAAATGCAAATTGCAAAGACACTACAGCAGTGATTTCAAACCTCTATTCTTTTCAGCAATTTGACTGTCAGCTGCAATATGACAATTACCATTGCAAAATTATTCACAAATGTACATGCTCTCATTAGAGGTAAACATTCACAGCTTGCTACAAAAAATTAGACAAAATGTATTTTTTTTTTTAATTAACCTTTTTTCTAATCAACTTGTTAATAGATGTTATTACACACATCTGGAATAGGTGGGACTTAAACCCAGACCTCCAGGTCCAGGTAAGGACACTACCACCTGTGCCACAAGAGGGCCCAGAGGAATGTATTCCAGACTAACTACACAACTGAAAGCAGGTGGCTATTGGTTCTGCTTGTTTTTAAGTGCAACGAAATACAAGAATGTACATTTATATCTTGACTGTAAACTAGTCATGTATAATATACATGAAGTAAGTTAAACAATTGCTTTACCTTTTCCCATGGCTTCTTTTATGATCTTAGTGTTTGACATCAAAGCATAAAGGGTTTCAAGGACAAGCTGTCGACCTAAGAAACAATAATAATATTGGGAATTTCCACCTTTTAATTCATTGACTTGAAAATGTGTCTAGTAGAGGATACTTGTCAATAATTTGCAATTAAAGTCTGATAGTGCATTCAGATTCCCTGTATGGTGAATTGCACTAAATTAGGAAACAAAGTTTAACACAATTCATTCCCTGTTTTTTTCTCCTTGTTCAATTCCTTTTAAAATCCCCTTCATGTGCAATATCAACCAGTTCCGAGGAGCCCAGATTCAAAGTGATTTGGCTATTCCTTCCATAGTTTTAACCCAAAAATCTTCATTGCTTCATCCTGACATTGTTCATTTCTTTTGCCTCGCTCACCAAAACTAATGTTCCACATACTATAACTTTTTCATCATTCAATATTGTTGCGGTGTCTATTCCTCATCCTGTTTAGCCACATCTTTCAATACTGTTGCTGGCTCTGACACGTGTCCCTCTCCAAACATTTTCAGCAATTTAACATTTTCAACGCAGCATTTTCAATGTTTGGATGTTACTTTTCAAGATACAATGATCAAACTGGGAAACATAATTGAGTTACAGATACTAAGTGAAATTAAACAGCAACAGGTTACAACAAAATGGAGTTCGAGATTCAGATGGGAGAATGGACAAGGCAGGACATGACACGACACAGTAGTCAGCAATGGCTCAGGAAGGACTTCAGAAACAAAACTAAACAGTTGGAAATCCAGTGTACTTGAGGATGAGGTGGTTTGAGCCGGGTTATGTTTGGAGGACTCAGTATTCAGTTCAGCCAAGGAAAAGATGGCAGGAAATGGAGAGTGAGCAGGCACAAAAGTAGTGGTACTTTATGTTTGCACAATTTTACAATTATTTTTTGACAGTTTGAGCAGTCGGCTACTATTGTAAGTAGATAAAGGGTGAAAGAAACAGAAAAGAAGGATAAAAGATCAGGAATGGGGGAGTTGGTTTTCAAATTTAAGCACAGATTTTGAACAAGAAAAAGGACTTGCTTTATGCTCAAGGTTGCAATTGCTGAAATAACTGGCAAGATTAATGGCCACTGGTTGATTTACCTATAGACAAGGTGGGCTGCACCATTAGAATCCTCCCATGTTACCTTATAGCAGATACCTGACGTGGTCTTCGGTTTTTATGCTACCTTTTTTAATTTGCCATTCCCCTGCTAACTTCCTCTTGTTTTGAAGTTACATTTTTAGCTGCGGTAAATGTCATGGGGACAAAAACTAAAAGACAGCAGTTGCTGAAAATCAGAAATAAAATGCTGAAACTACCTGGCATGTCAGGTACTGTGGAGAGATGGAGGACAACTAATGTTTCAGTCTTGACAAGATTTTGTATGACAACAGGGACATACAAGACCTAAATTGCTAATGCTGACTTCCTCTGCCAGCAAAGGCTGCTTGACCTGTGAAGAGTTTCCAGCATTTCCTGTTATTTGCAATTCTAAAGGGCTGGTGACTTTGATGTGATAAATAAGTGCAGGCAGGCTAACTGACTAAGCATCAAAACTAAATTAGGTTCTGCCTTCAACCAACCCATTTTCTAGCTGTGTGCAACGGATAATAAATTTGAAGCAAGATCGCTGGCTGATTTTCCACCTCCGAAGTCTAGTGGCATACTCTCCATTAAAACCAACACCAGGCAATTCAGAGGTCAGACCTGGCTCTTACCTGGATTAGGTGGCTCCATTTATAAACTGCTCTTACTAATTGATTCATCAGGTGGATTGACTGTTCTTTAAATATTTACCACTCCTAGCTTAAAAACATTACAATCCCTTGCTAAAACAAAAACTCAAGAGAAATCAAAATGCAAAGTTCATTTCTGATGATTATTGAAGGGGTACTTACTAGATGGCAAAGAATGCAGCAGAACTAGGAGATTAGATAGGACCAGTGATTCAGCAATGTTATTTACACATTCCTGGTTAGCTGTCACTATGTTCACTACCTGTGACACAACAATAAAATATTCAGAAACATTTCAAGTACTCCTTGCAGACATTCAAAAATGTATAGAACATTTTTGGTCACAGACTGTTGATGAAACTAATCAAGAAGTTGCAACATTAGAATGCATTTTTGTTTAAAGAATTGAATGTTGGATAAACTGGAGCAAATACACCGTAAACTTTTGAAATAAAGTTAGTTTTTCTCAGATCAGTTAGTTTAATTCACTTCCTAATGGCACTCATTTACACATTGATCACGTATTTATTGCAGCAGGAAAGCCATCATCCATATTTAACAAATACTTTAAAAATCAATCCTTCTAGATTAGACCTGCTACTGAAAAATGTTTCATGAAAAAAATTACTTTGACCAAAGCAAAAATCACTTTGCAACGCTTTATAAAAAACACCAAGGTTTGAAAGCAATTGTTATGACTGAAGCTATTATTTCTGCTACAGCATATATAATCTTCAAACCAAATTAAACACTAGCCCTAAACAAAATACAGCCCTGTATACTTCACACTGCAGCACAAGCACATGCCACTGACCAATCCTATTGAGAATTAACCGTGTCTTATAGACATTACCATCGCTTAATGTCCACATATCAACATTACTGCTGAGCTTGGACCAACTACACAAATAATGTACCTACCAAATTAAGTCAAAGGCTTAGGATAGTGCAGCAAGTATCACAGCTCCTGATTCCCCAAAGCCTGCCTGCTTACTACAGGACACAATGCAGGAGTGTGATGAAAAAGTCTCCATTTGGCTGGGTAGATACAACTCTAACAAGCAGCTCAGCACTAGCCAGGACAACGCTGTCCACTCAATCAGCATCCTATGCACCAACTTAACCATTCAATCCCTCCAACACTGACACATGGTGGCAGCAGTATATAAACAGACTACCTTTGTCACTCAAGAGCATGAGTAGCAGAAGCGTTATCTCAAATTGGGAAAAAGCGTGATAAAAGCCTAGTAAATTCTTGAAAAATAAAATAAAAAAGGTGAAAAAAGTTTTTTGTAAAAAACAGATGGCTTCGTATTGCACATGGACACTTTAAAAAGAGTCATAGGTGAGCAAGCACAAATCAGAATTTATCAGATGCTTAGTGTCAGCAGACATTCTTATGGAAAAATGGGTCACATTGCAGCAATTCGGCAATGTTTCCTTCAATAAGACCTTCCAAGACCACTAACGCTATCATTCTAGCGATCAAGGGCAGCAGACTTATGGGAACACCATAGCCTCCAGGACACCCATCATCCTGACTTGTAACTGTAGTTGCCGCTTCTTCACTTTTCAGGATTAAAAAATATCCCAACTTCTCTTCCTAGCTGTGCTGTGTTTGTAACCGTAACACACGAGCTGAAGCAGTTCAAAGCAACTGGAAATGGGCAACCATTGATAGTTTAGCAAACCACCTTTGCACCCTTGAAAAAGAAAAATGCTATCATGCCACCTGGACATTGATGACAATACTCATGGAAGGGGAAGAGGCAACCACTTATATTCTCTCAGGCCTCATGTTAGATAGTGAGGTGAGACACACCTAGAAGTGACTTTGCTGTTTATTTCAGTGTCTTCCTCTAGATTCAGAGCTTCATTTTCTAAGATGCCACAGTTAGAAAGGCTCAATTTATCAATAGTCACAACTAATTGAGGCTACACATAAAAATTGAATTCTACAGAAAGCACATCTACTAGATGGGACTACGACTTCAAACTGCAGAAAACACCAGTTACCATCAGTATTAAAGGGGTCAATTATAAATTTTGTTCTGCAAAGCACCAAGGGATGTTTTTGAACATTCAAAAAAATTCTATAAATGCAGCATTTAACCCGTCTCAATTGGAAACAGCTCCAGGTGCATCTTCAACGTAACCAAAATTATTTCAAACCCAGAAAGCTGAATTGCTACCAAAACGGGTATTCCAAAACGGGAGAACTGGGATACAGATTCTCCACTGCTTCTTGTGACCAGTTCAGTGCAACACAATGTCCTACGGTCACAATGCTCAATTGTTTCATGGTGTAGATGGTGTGTAGCCTACCAAGTGCAAAATTAAACCAGGAAGCTAACTTATTGCACCAAAATCCATAACTTACCTCCAAGGCAAGTTGTTGAACCTGACCAGCTCCATGCACTCGCAGAAGAGAAAATATCAGTTTGAAATGCCCAATACATTCAGTCTCAGCACCTGCAGTAAGATTCAAAATGAAAACCAGCAGATGCAGACTGCACAATTTTTATAATGGTTCCAATGACTAGACATAGAACAAGAACCTGACATGATTGAGTTTAAGAACAGAAGCATTTTTCTTTACTAAACAGCTTCTCTTCACCAAGTGAATGGTCCACCCAAAATTGGAAAACCATCTGGGTAACATACTTCAGGCAGACCAAGAGTATCCCTCCTCTACAGGAGGAGATTAGTTTTAAAGCATTTGAGCACAAGGGGTAAAAATTGAAAAATTGTGTGGTGTGGATGTTATGCTGCAAACGAGGGTGATGAAATTTGTTGTAGATAATCAAATTGTCATTCAAACCACTATACAAACTGAAATGCTTTAATTTATAATTTCAAAATAACAATTTGTAGATTTTTGAGTAGAGTTTACCAAGATCCAATTTGATTTTTGAATGAAAAATAAACAAAGTGCAGCTGCCATTAAGAACTACATACAATGAGCTCAATGCAATCCAATTTAGTAATAATGCCTCTCTTCTTTCTCACTCTACAAATGTTGCATATTTCAAACACTATTTGTTTTCCAATTTAAAATTGGAGGCTTCAATGGAAACCAGAACATTATCCTGCAACAGGACTGAGCTGACCCTCTTCAGAATCACAATGTCATAGGCTGCTTAATGCTACCCTATGAACTGCTCAGAAAGAGACTGCATAGATGTTTCAAGGGTGAAACACATCCAGCCAACCAAGCCGAATCTTTTTGGGTTATTCTTGTATATCTATGATCAATGCCATTACTTCTAAAATGCAAGTGCTTGTATGATAGGCACCGTAAGACCAGACAAGCAAATGCTAGTTAATCTGATGATGATATTGTTTGAAGGAGAAATTTGGCCACAATACAAAGAACCCTTTGCATTTCTTTACTAAGTCCCATGGGATATTTTACATCTAGTTGTGCAGACAAATCAAGCTTCTATTTAACATCTCATCCAAAGGACAGCATCCCAAATAACAAAGCGGTCTCAAGGCTGCTAAACTAGTGCCACCTTAGATTACGTCCTCAAATTACACTAACCTGGATTGTTTTTGATGACGTTACGTAATGCCTCTAGAGCCATTTCAGCTCGCCTTAACCTGTCTTCATGCTGATCAGATTCCACTTTCCCAGTTTGGGTGATAGCCATCAGTGTGTGCAGGTATTGTGCTTGTGATCCTATGTAATCAAGGAGGCTGGCTGCAAAAGTTTTTGGAAGCTAGGAAAGGAAAAATCAAGTTGAAGCTATGATACTTGTCATAAAGAAAATATTAATGCAAGTGGCTTTAAATTCCAATGTTTGCTTCTGCAATGCAATTTTAATCCTATTTCTCAAATGGAAAAGAGTACAGCAAAATGAATATTTCCAAACTTTAAATGCCCTATTTGAATGAAAATGATTCTGATGAGCTGATTCTTTAACGCAACAGAGCCATAATTGGTAGAAGGTAAGCATAATAAATGCTCTACTGTACCCGGCTCTTAATTATAAAGAAGTTTGAGCATTTGAAGCAGTGCAGAACAAAGTCACAAGGATGATCCAAAATGTCAATGAGCAAAGAACAAACCCTTTGCAGCTTTGATAGCATATCTGATGATCAAACACAAGTATGAGATAGTTAACAGTAAGTGGAAAATTATGCAAATTATATTAGAGGGGAACAGAGATGGAAATTAATGCAAGGACAGTTTAGAACAAAAAGCAGGAAATTGTCAGAAACACACCAGCATCTGTAGAGGGAGAAACAGCATTAACTTTTCAGGTTGATGACCATTCAGCAAAACAGGAAAGAGTTAAATATCCAACAGGATTTGAGCAAGGGTTTGGTGGGGCAAGTTCAAAAAGGAAGGGCTGTGATAGGGTCAAGAACAAGACAGGCTAAAGGATTTAGGTCTCACACAGTACTCCCTGACATCAGTCTTGAATTGTCATTTTACCAAATTGCGCCTTTTTTGGCACCCATGGTTTAATTTGAACTGGCTCAGCACTTTTGTTTTGAATTCCACTTAAAATGCAAAAAAACCCCATGAAGATCCGACTGGTTTTATTTACCTCATTTCAAAGTTAGAGTGCTCACTTTGAATTGATCGGATTGAAGACCCTAACAAACCCGTGAGACAATGTGGTTTTTCCTCTTATGCTCCACAGAGGTTTCACGTTTTAAGACATTCATCATTCTTGGTGAGGTACAGCTCCACAAAAGTTAACAAAATACCATACAGCAGTGCAGTGAAGTATTTAAGATCAAAGTTTTAAGCAGAAAGTAATAGTTCATTTTATACACAAGATTGATTCTGTTCTGGGCTAGAACGTGCATTTTGGAGCAGCCTCTCCTGTTTGTGGGCCATGAACATCAGGGAAAGGCACCCAAGAAATAATCAGATACAAGGAGGGAGCATCAGCCAGCAGGTGTTACGTAGAAAGAATTTTATTTTATTGGACAAAAGCTGTTGATAGTGGTTGTGGCAAATTATGAGATTGACTGTCACGCCAGCAGTTTTTTGCTTAATTTGTTCAAGGGACAAGGCTAGCACAGCCTTTACTGCTTATCCTCAGATGCCCTAGAGAAGGCGTTGAGCTGCCTTCTTGAGTCAACAGTCCTTGGAAGTATTAAGCAGTGCAGCCAAGAAAGGAAGGAATTCCAGGATTTTGAACCTAGAACAGTAAGGAATGAATGGCAATATAGTTCCAAGATAGGATGGTGAGTGACTTGGAGGGGAGCTTGCAAGTAGTGACGTCTCCAGGCATTTACTGCTCTTGTCCTTCTAGCTGGCAAGAATCATGGGTTTGGAAGGTTTTGCTGAAGGAGCCTTTGAGAGTTGTTACAGTGCACCTTGCAGACAGCACCCACTGCTGCAACTGTGCACTGGTGAGAGATTGAATGTTTAAAGGTAGTAGATGTGGCATCAAGCGAACTGCTTGTCCTGGATAGTGTCAAGTTCGAGTGTTATTGGAGCTGCATTCATTCAACTAAGTAGGGAATATTCCATCACACCTAACTTGTGCCCTGAAGATAGTGGAAAGGCAGAGAGAATAGTCAGCTAGTTGCTGTAAGATTCCCAGTCTCTGACCTGCTCTTGTAGCCGCAATGTCTAATAGGAACTCTAGTTCAGTTTCTGATCAATGGCAACCCCATTATCAGTGGGGAAGTCAGCGGTGGTAACCCCATTCAATGCCAAGGAGTGATGGTTAGATACTCTTGTTGGAGATGAGGATATATATAGTATCGGGTTCAGACAATAGATAATGATGCTGAACACAAAAACCGAGAAAGGAGATTAGAGCAGAGTATGCTTGAGAGAAGATCAATGGCATCACAAAAGGGAACATCGAAATCTTGTGTAAGAAAACAGAGTGAAAGGATAAGCAAAGAAAATATGGGGCCAATTAAGGAACAACTAAATCTTGTGAAAAGAAGTGTGTATGGCTGCTGTACTAAATGAGCACTTCGCATGTCTTTGCAAAACAGGACAGGTGTTGTCAACGTTACAGAAAGAGGATTATGGCATAGCAAAATTTGAAGAGATGCAAAGTAGTACAGGTGTGAAAGACAATAGGTTATGGACAGAACTAAGTAACCCCTTACAGGTATTCTAAAGAACTAGAATACAGAACAGAACACATTTTTGCAACAAAAACAAATTTCTGGCGAAACTCTGGCAGCATCTGTGAAGATAAAGCAGGGTTAACACGGAGTCTAAAGACCCTTCTTCAGGACTCATTTTCTGTTAGCCAGTTATTTGTTCATGAAAGCCATAACCTACATATTTCAACAGAATGAAGTTGCTTTTGGAATCTTACCTCCAATGGAAATGTTGGTTGTTCGTTGTAAACTCTGACAAAAACTTCACCAACAATGAGCTCTTTAGCATGTTCACTGAAAACAAACTCAGCGCCATAATTTTTATCACAATCCCCCTTGAAGAAAGTCAAAATACTGACAATTAGTTAAGTGCTAACTAATGTAATTAATTAGACTACGAACATTAGTGATAAACAAAGCTAAAATTTAGAGAGTGAATGTGAAATGAATTTAGATTTGGCTAAACAATTGGTTAAGCAATAAACATGATCAACGATCTTCAGTCACAATATCATTATCTGACATTCCCAAATGGGTCATCTGCTGGAGTAGTTATAGAATGCACAATTTAAAAATCAATAAGCACACTAAGTTTTTTTTCAAAAGAAAGAAAGATTGCGTGCTTTAAATTATGGAAGCCAAATGTAGCAGAGAGCTGTTCTAGAAGATGACGACTGATATTTAATAAAATTGTATAAAATCTCAGCCCTTCAATGCTCATCAAATTCTTTATCACAGAATTATTGGAATCGAAGAAGCTGCATTTTCAGATTTATATCTATGCTCATTTTTATAGAACATGCTCTTTTCAAACATGCATTTTTCTTTAAAAACACCAACTAGAAGTCACCACCAGCCTTTTGCTTCTCCAATACTGGGACACTGAAGGAATTGCTGTGATGCACACCTCGAGTTCCATTCCTTAGCCACTGACTCCAACCCTCTCCATCGTAAAAAGCTGAGTCGGAGTATTTAAAACCTCAGCTGGCCTTTTTTCCCTCTGATCCATGTAACCTCTCCATCACCAAGATCACTTATTGCCATCTCTGTAAAAACTGTCGCCTGTCTTCATTTCTGCCTTAGTTCATCTGCTGTTGCTCAAATCCTTAGTTATATGCCTTAGGTCCCTCAAGATTTAATTCAACACTCCTGATTAACTTCGCAAAAGTAATTCACAACTTTTGCAAACTTGAACCGATCCAAAATTCTGCTTTTTTTCAATCCAACAACCTAGCAACTATCAACTTCCACAGCATAATATACTTAAGAATTCTTATTTATTTTCAAATTCATCCAGAGCCTTATGCTCCAATTCTCCTGATTAAGGCAGGGTGTTTTATGTTAAAAATGTCACAAAATTAGTCTTTCTTGAACCATTAAAGTAGTAACATTCTTACCCTTTTTACCATACTTTCCTGTTGCCCTTCGAGGAACTCCAGCAACTCAGCCCGTGTTCCATTGCTCCAGATCAAATATGGATTCTCAGTGTTACTGTTGAGCATCTTGAGAATCTGAAACAAAGCATGTTCTTGCATGTGAGATGATAAAAAACAATATTTCAATCCTTTTCACATGAAGACTCCAGTAAATCAAAGATCGATCAAACTTTTTCAAAACTGCTGTCATCCACAGAGAAATACTTTTTACACAATTGTATTTTCCATCACCGAGGGTGATCCACAGCTCTGCCCTCAACTGATTTTACTTTGCTGGCTCCGAGAACTACACAATTTGTACAATTTGCCTGTTCTTTCCCCCTAGCCCTGAAAATTTCTTCAAGTATTTAACCAATTCCTCTTCAGATGTTCTTCGTGAATCTATCACCACCTTTTCATTCAGTGCACTCCAGATTGTAATGTTGCACAAAATATTTTGATCTTCTAGGAACGTGGATCGATTGCATAATTGCAGACAAACTGAACTCAGCAATAATACAATAAAGGAAGGGAGTTAAGTACAATATAAACAATACCTCTGCTGGAGTATCTTTTGAGAGCCTTCTTGAGACATAAGGTGATAACAAAGCTGCCAAACATTTCCTTATCGTAGGATTTTCAGGTGTTGCCTTTTCACCCGGTAAATAGCCACCTAACCGGCTCAGTGCTGTCACACAGAGCTTTGCAAGACAATTAGAAACTTCCTGTTTAAAAGAAACAGAACATGGCAATTGATTTCACAAAAGATAAGCCCAATTAAAGTCCACTTCCAGTGCAAAAGGATCTGGGCAAAACATTGAGCTAGACAGAAATTAAAACACAAGAGTCATAGAATCATACTGCACCTTCAGTCCAACCAGTCCATGCCAAACATAATCCCAAACTTAACCAGTCCCACCTGCCTGCTCCTGGTCCACATCCCTCTAAACCTTTCCTATTCGTGTACTTATCTAAGTAAATGTAACTGTGCCCGCATCCACCATTTCCTCAGGAAGTTCAATCCACACGTGAACCACAAAAAAAAATGCCTTCATGTTTTTTCTAAAACCTCTCTCCTCTCACCTTAAAAACTTGACCCCAGTCTTGAAATGTTGAGAAAATTTCCCAGTTTCAGATACTGAAATGTTAGTACCTGCTGATTTGTTTCTTCACACTTTTGAATTCCGCTTTCTTCCAGTGTGTAATCATAACTGAAGAGGTAGACTAGAAGATGCCACAGAATACCGGCTTGGAACAAGTGCGTTTGTAACCAGTAATCCACAGCAAAGGAAGCAACACATTCTACTGCCAGCATGGCCGTTCGTGGTAGGCTCTGTTCACAAACACATGTAGTTGAAATGCAAGCTTAAAGATTGCCGTTTTTCCAAGTGCATTAGAAACAATCAACTGGAATGTATTCGTAGCAATATATGTAACTTTTTCTTATTAGTGGTAGACAAATAATTTAACTGGCCTTTTAAGAAAGCCTACAATGATTTAACAACTCCTTTTACAAATCATGCTCGCTGCAAAAGTACCTACTTTTCCAAAATACAGCAATCTGCACAGGTCTCTTATAATGTTGGGCATTTCTGTTATTTTTTCCCTGCATTCTTCAAACTGAGCTGCAACACTGTAACATTTACAGATGTGGCCACACACCTAAAACAAAGAGGCAGCATATAAATTGTACTGCATCAGCTTAGCAGAGAACTTCAAGTCATGCTATGTGAATAATTTTACCTCAACGGCCATATCACCCTTTTTGCTTGAGTTTGTTAACACTGCCACACAGCGCGCAAAGCCATCTTGTAGAACCTGAAAAAGGAACAGCAATCATTTGGAAGTTGTCAATGCAGTAAGACCCTTCTATACCGCATCCATTGCATTTACATTCTTAGTAAGGAAATGAAAGTTGCATACAGAACGAGAGGTCTCATCTCACCAACACCCCGTGTAACTGAAACATGACACCTTTACTTTTATGTCCAATTCCTCTCATACAATAACATTCCACATCCCCCTTAATCACTAACTAAATCTGCATACTAAGCTTGTGACTTGTGCACAAGAACACCAAGATCCCTCTATACCTTATGACTTAGTTGTTTTTGTTTCAGCACCGTTTTTCTTTTCATTCTTCCTGCTAAAACGAACTTCATATTTTCCCACATTATACTCCATCGGTCATATTTTTATCCACTTACACAACCTACATCCTCTCCAGCTTCCCTGCCTTCTTTGCCACATACTTTGCTATCTATCTTGATGCAATCTACAGATTCAACAACCGCGCCTTCGCCCACCCCTTAAAGTCTTTGATGTAATTGAAGTCCCAACACAAATCCTTGTGGAATACCATTCACCACATCCTGATAATAAGACAAAGACCTATTAACGCATACCATTTTCTGCAACCAATCTCCTTTGAGCTAATACGTTATGCCCTACACCACAAGCTTTTATTTTCTGCAATAACCTCTCATTGGACACCTTGTCAAATGCCTTCTGGAAATGTAAGTTTAGTTCATCTGCAGGCTCCACTTAATCCACAGTGCACATCACTTCAAAAGAAAACACTCCAATAAGTTAGTTAAATGCGACTTTTCTTTCACAAAGTTGTGCTGGCTCTTCCAGATTACCTTGAGCTTTTCAAAATGCGACATAATCCCCCCCACGATCAATTCTAACACCTTCCCATGATGGGCATCAAGTTAACCGACCTACAGTTTCTTGTTTTCTGCCTCCCTCAATTTTTGGAATAGAGGGGTTATATTTGCTGTTTTCCAGTCCAATGCAACTTTTGCTGAATCTAGGGAATTTGGAAAATTACACCAATGTACCTACTACCCAATTAGCAACCTGTTAAAACCCTAGGAAGCAACCAACTGAACCAGTCAGTCCACTGCTCCATTGATTCCTCATGTCCATCCCTGCTGCTGGTTTTCACCACTCAGTGCGCACGAGTTTGCTTACAGGCTTTTAAATGTCTGAATGCAACTAGCCCTCATGTCTTTGACAAGCTTCAACTTGAAACCACTCCAAAAAAGTGTTGCTGGTCAGTTTTCTTTTCAACCCAAAAGGCACCTCGTGCCAGTTAGTCTCACAAGAGTATCAAATCCAGCTTCTCCAAATAGTTAACATTCCCTGTGTAACCAATGTGAACGCCACAGAGCTCCACTTCTGCCTCAAATTTAAACGCTAGCACATTCTCTGCAACACAGCATTCCAAGTTGCCAGTTTCCAGCTCATATTTCCAACATAAAAATATATGTAGCCCTTACAGCACAAATATTACTCTAAGCGGGTTTAAACAAACATTTCCAGTAGCTACTTTTCGGCTAAATCTCTCCAATGTTGTTATATGGAGAATGTACCAGATGACAAGAATAACTTTAAACAATGCTTAATCTTATGCTTTCCCCAAATACAGCATACATTGTTATTGTGCATATTACCTCTATTCCATTCTCTCTACGAAGTTCCTCAGCATTTAATGCTGAGCAGTTGACAGTATGAAAAGCCAATTCAGTGGAAGCTGGTAACAAGGACACCTTGCTAAATAGTTGGTCATCCGAAGTTTCCATGGTAATGGTCTTAATCAACATCGGGTATCCTGCATACTTATAGGGCTCTAGGTCTACAATAAGAACAACCAAAGGTGACAGCTAAACCAAAACTTCAAAAACACTTTGTACTAGAGATTCATAAAATTGCTATGAATTATCTTAATTCTATACAAATTTTGATGTGAATTGTTAAAATGCCATTGTACAGAACTCAAAAGCTATCAACCCTTGATATATATTAGCAGTACAAAAATTATATTATTGAAAAACCTTCCTAACGGCCTTTGTCCTGTTCACTGCTTCACGGCAACTGAATTAATCACAACAAATTATTACACTGGACAAGAGGAGTTTGTGTTTTGGGATCACTGTGGGTTGGTTTTTAATGAAAACTAAAACTATATTTCTAACAAAAGTACACTATGAACTATAAGTATAACTAATATGCCATTAAGAGGAGTGGATGTGCATGGAGAAAAGAGCAGGGGATACCTAGAATAGAGGTAGTATGGTGGATTAAGAAAGTAATGAAGCTGGTATGTAAACTCCAGTCATGCACAATTGTTTCTTTTAAAATGGGAGTGAAATTGTCTGTGGACTTGCCTCCATAGGAGATTGAGATTTGAAACTATTGGCACTTGTTTGAGCATTTTGAGAAGTATTACTATTCAGTAGAGCGAGACATAGACTCAGCCATAGACAGCAATTCAGGGAAAGCGAATAGTTGTCTAGCATCCTTCTCTTACATATTCAAAAACATCAGAGAACTGTAGCAAAAAAAATCAACTGAAATTAGCTTGATATAAAATCAGCCCCAGCAGGTGAAAACAAAAACTAAATCAATCAAGGAACTGTTAAATAACACATCATTAAAAAATCAACTTAAGAACAGTTCACCATGAGCAACTTGATACAGACTGAAAGAACAGAGAAGATGGTTACTTATCCCATTCTGTATATGCTTTGAAAGTGTTATCCAATTAATCCCACACCCTTTACATTCCCCACAGCTCTCCAGAGAATTTTCCCTTAAAGTAATCAGCCAGTTTCCTTTTGTGAGTTACTGCATGATCTGCTTCCATCATATTTTCAGATTTTGGAGAGCAGTCATAAGACAATATATTAAAAGAACTCACTTGCTTCTGAATTATTTTCCCATTTTATTGTAAAGGGGTCTTCTGGTTATTGACTCTTCTGCCACAGGAAACTATTTCTCTCAACTCTATCCAAACTAATCATGATTCTGAACACCTCTACTAAATCTGCCATTAACTGTGTCTGCCCAAAAACAACCAAGTCTTTTCTGGTCTCTTGCACAAAAGAAGTCCAGAGCACCTCCATGTCATGTTAATAATATTGGTCTAATGGTCAACTGCTCATCAGGGATTGATCAACTCGGTGGGATAGTTTACTTAAACCTATAAACCACATTGGAAGTTGTGAGGCAGCAATTACAGCAAACAAATTGGTGTGTGACTTGCCGGGCAGCATTGCAACATTGTATTTACACAGCGCATGGAGTCCTTAAAGATGACGAATTCTCTTAATGGCAAAGTACACACAAACTCCTTCAACCTTCTCCATTACTGTAAGGAATGCAATCAATTTATTAAAACAATGACTACAAACTTTACTGAATCCTTGCTGACTCATTTATTAACCCATACTCTGCAAATCAATCTTCTCTTGAATTACTGTCTTTTAGAGCTTTACCACCAACAACACTAGGCTGACTAGCTTGTGATTACCAGGTTTCACTCTCTCCATTTTGAATAGAGATGTAACACTTGCAACCTTCCCGTTGTTTGATACCATCCTGTATCTAAGTATGATGGAAGATTATGGCTAGAGGCTCCAGTGAATATTCAATTTTTATCCCCACCAGCCCTACCTCAGAATCTCCCCAGGCAGAAAATAGCTCACATTTGCCAAGTTGTTTCAAAAAACAAAAAACACTTCTGCAATTCTTATGGAAGCTGTCCTTACCCTGTTTGTATCTGTTGAAGAGGATGCTCTGCGTTTTCAGGATGAGGATAATGTTCTCTGGATCGGGTCCATCTACCATTCTAATTGACTTTGTACACAAGAATTCATAAGCTTTATTCACCTTTTCAAAGATATCCTGGAAAATAAAACCATATAGAAGGTATTTAACATTGCAGAGTGAAATCTTAAATTCTATAATTTTTCAAATAGTACCCTCTGGTTACTGACACTGCTGCCACTAGTTTGTTATTGCCAAGGCCTAAAGCACCGGGATTCCTTTTCCACTTCTCCAGCTCTCTTTCTCCCCCACCTCTAAGATGCTACTCAAAGCCTACCACTTTGACCAAGTTTTTGGTTACCCACCCTAACATTTCACATGAACTGATATCCAATTCTGTGAAGACTCCTGGGATGTTTTACTGCATTAAAGGCATGATATCAATAGACAGTGTTGTGGTAATAAATTACATTTATTGAATGTCATTTAGAAATAAGAATATAACTGACATTGAAGGTGAAAAACAAGATCACCAGCAATCAAATCTTGGCTATATATATCACTGAGTCAGCATACATAAAATGCATTGCCAACTTCAGATTATTATATTTCAACACTTCATACAATAAAGTAAGGCATCCCTGTGACTACAAACATTCTTTCAAGGCAAGTGTGTAAGTTTATTTCTATTCTTTAAACAGGACTTACTCTGCCATCAGGATTTTTGTCAGGATGATATTTCTGAGCAAGTCTGAAGTAGGCTTTCCTGATTTTGCTCTCGTCATGCCTACCAAGAAAATTAATGGCGCAACACATTACTTGTGATGAATATTCATCCAGAAAGTAAAGAATCTCTATTCAGTCTTCCAAAATAGTTCCTTTTTTTGGATCACCATCAAGTCTCAAAATCCAATAAAGATATAAAATTAAAGCTCATTTCACAAACAAACTTACAATTCCTGTGTTTATAACAGAGTTGCACAGCACAGAAAAGATCCTTTGGTTCAACTCATCCATGCCAACCAGATATCCTAAGTTAATCTGTCCCATTTGCCAGCACTTGGCCCATATCCCTCTAAGTCTTTCCTATTCATGTACCCATTCAGATGCCTTTTAAATGTTGTAATTGTACCAGCCTCCGCCACTTCCTCTGGCATACATGCACAACACTTTGCATGAAAAAGTTGCCCCTTAGGTGCCTTTTAAATCTTTCCCCCCTCACCTTAAACACCTGCCCTCCAGTTTTGGGCTTTTTTTTTTTTTTTTAAAGGTTCACGGAAAGCAATCATGTTGCAGGATTTGAGTGCCTGCTTAGCAAACGGACATTCCATTAAGAGAGTATTTATAAATATGCTGATTTAATGGAAGCTTCAGCAGCTATCAGCCACAAATACTCACATTCCTTGTCCCTTTGGAAGGTTCAAAACCTCATATGCTTCATCGATTGACATTGAAGGTGGCTTCTTTTCCACTTCTTTTTTCCAGGCATCAAGAGTGTCTTTGAGCAATTTTACCTAAATACACAGGCGAACAAAATGTTCACAATTCCCATATTTTGTTACGATTTTAAATCTACTTACTGAAACAAGATTTGTTCTACTACTACTTAGGTGGCGTTAAAGCGATTTGACACCATAGTTGAAAGTACGTTCAACATGAAAGAGCGAAATACCAATCATCCGATGTAGAGGAAATTTCTTGTGACTTTTTTTTAAAAAATATAGTGCAGTGGACACAATGCATGAACCGGACTATGTAGAATCATTGGTTCTAGCTATTTAGCAATTTCAGGAAAGCATTACAAACACTTAGTGGCAAGCCCTGGACATGCTAATTCAGTATAAAGATTCATTTTTTGCCCAGTTTAAGTAACGAGTTTCCATATAATGAACAGTCATCTTCAAGTTGGCTACATGGTTGTCACGCTGTTACTGCAAGTGCCATGTCTCAATCTCAGACTAATGTTGCTTGTTTGAAACTTCCTGCCCATTTAAGAGGTGTTAGATTTAACTGGATCCATTAAATGACATATTCAAGTTTACCTTGATTGCACCACCTCTATTGATTACCGATGCAGCACAAAAACAAATGGTTGATACATCTTATTTAAATGTGTAACACATTGATTTCACCATGGGCAGATGCCCACACCAGACAACAGTTAATGGGTTAAATGCATCATCTTTTCCTAGCCAGATGCCTGACTTGTTTTACTAGAATTTGATTTGAGGTAGTGGCCAGTACATGCTTTGTCATATCCAAATTTAATTAAAATGTTTACCAACATTGCAAGGAGCATAAAAAAGAAGTGAAAAATGCAATTATCTGGGATTATAGAGGTTCACATTAACAACTGAAAGAAAAGGTACATTGTTCAAATACAGATTGGTGCCAAAAATATTGGGGAATGACTAACTACTGATGGGATGCAATGACAATAGTAATTAGATTAAATTTTGTAAACTGAAAGCAGCTCTAAAGTGGTTTATCTAAAGGGCGACTGCATGTGTCAGCAGTATGTTAACTTGGAAAAGGGCAAAACAAAACTCTCAACCATTGGGAACACCAGATCTTTTAAAGCCAATACTGATTGTTGCTGGTCTCTAAACCAGTGAAGAGGTCAACTTTTCACACCAATGGCCAACATCCATCTCTTCACATTATTGGGCAATTTACTGCTCCGAGCAATGACTTTCCCTAAAATTGTCCCAAACAACAAAAAAGCTCCAAACCAGGATAAAGTTCAGAGGGGATAAATGGTACAAGCACAACCTGCCAGTTTTAAACCAGTTGCCACAGGAAGATCTAACAGCAATTTTTGTTGGATTATATTCAAAGAGAGGAGTGCACAGTCCCTAGGATTTTGGAATTGCACAAAGAAAATTAGACGAAAAAATGGGGAGTATCTAAAACTAACTCAAAATCTGTAATTAGACCTTCCAGATTTTTATAAGCCAGTTGTTCAGATGATTAAATATTTTTATGTTAATTGTAGATTAATGGTGTTGAGAGAATGTCTATACTATTAGATGAAAACCATTTAAAGGTTTAGGTAAGAATGAAACTTTACAGTGGTAGGAATCTGATCAGAAATAAGATCAAAATAGGATATTACTCCATTTAAAGTTGATTGGCTTGGTCACCTGAAATTTATTTGGTGTTTCGGAGCAATCAGAATTGCATACATACTGAAATGAAAGAAAACCAGGGATAAAAATAACTTGCACCCTCAAACCCACAATCTCCAGTGTGAAGGGGCTGAGACCAACAAGTGACAATAGATTGCTATTCTATTCAACTGCATGGGAACACCATTATCACAATCACACACCACCCTGACTTGAACACATCGCTGTTCAAGCTACAAATCTGGAAGTAGCTGACATTATGGGAATGATCTCACAATAAAGACAATGGCAGTTCAAGCTGGCAATCAATCATATTTGAGGACATTTAAGAATGATTAAAAAAATAAAATCCCCCAGTCCTGCAAATGTAAAAATTGTTAATCTACATCAAAATCAGCATAGCTACATGTTTCCCATTTGCAAACACTTTATGCAGAAATATACTTCAAGGTTTTGGCACTTTCTTGACCAATTTTGCTTAAAAGAAATTGATCCTGAGAGATATAAATTACAGAAGTTATTTCAGTAAAACTTACTGGATCTTTTATTGGCCAATCAGGGAAACGTGTTGCATCACAGAGATGTTTAAGATAGTAGATGTTACAGAAGAGTTCATTCTCTAGTTGGGGATAGCTGATCGCAGGAATAGGGCAATATTGGTACAATGCTCTGGTGTTACTTTGCAGGCGTGGAGTAAAATCTGCCAAATGAGCAGCAATCTTCTCAATCGTCAAACGTCTATCAGAAAAGAATGACTGGTTAAATCTCAGACATCTTACACTTTTATCCACTGTACTGCCTTGCAAAGTTAATTCCAGCTGACCTACATTCACTGCACCCTAAAACCAAACAAATACAGACTCTGGAAATCTGCAAACAATAAGCTGAAAATGCTCAGGCAGCAACAGTAAAACAAAAAAGATGTTAAATGGAGGTTTACAATTTCTCCTTTCTTTACAGTTGATGCCTGACTTGCTCGGCATTGTGTGCCTGGTTTTACATTTCACGTCCAAGAAGCTTTCAGCATGCGTTCAAAGTTTAATCAATTTCAAGCTCTAATCGAGAGATGCCAGTAGCATGTAATGTAACACTCCCATTTTAGGTGGTCCAAAACAACAATTTCAACTCTAGTGTTGTATAGCTACAGGGCGTTAAACATTCCTGCAGTATTGTGAGCAGAGCTTAGAAGAGTAGGTCTCAATTGTATTAGCATGACACTGACTTCATGTTCCAATGTTCCTTTTAAAAAAATTACAGGCAGTTTTGTACTGCTTTGGGCCACTTGGAAGTGTGTAAAACCGTCTAGATAATTTCATATTGAACCCTCTGAAATCAGAAGAAGTAAAGTGTATCAACTTATTAACTCTGAATTCATACCAAAGCCCAATGTACTGCGCTACCCTAGACTCAAATGTGGAGAGTTAATGCTCCTTTTTCATCAGTTCCAAATGATTTCTTAAATCTTGCTGTAACTTTCCAAACCAATTTACAGGAGCAAAATTAAGATTTTTAAGAAGTGGCTTGATAAAATGCCAAAAGTGCTCAAGTTCTAAGTATCCTGGACGGAACTGCTTTTCACTGCCACAGTATTCAAGTTCCCTCATACTGAATAATATACTGTCTAAATGTTGTAGGTTTGAGATGTAAAAATAAAATAGTTTAACACTGACATAAAATGGCAAAAATTCAATACATTACTGGAAAGCAGTGTCAGCTCAAGTTTAAAAGTCAGACAAGTGATCAAGGCCACATTAACAGGACATTCCTGCTTTTCAGAAACAAAAACTTCAATAGGACGAAGCAGAACAATAATTTGCAACTGTTTAGCAGTTTAATATTGTAAAGTAGGCCCTGCCTGCCAATAAACATAACAATCTGCACAAGTCATGACAGTAGGTTTTACCATGAATCTCATGCCCATGGAAGAGAAGCAGCAGATTAGACTAAGAATGTGAAGTGTAAAATCTATGATTGCAGAACTAAGTAATAACTAACAGTAAACAAGTTAGGATAGGAGCAATAAGAAAATTACTGAACAGAAGTATTGACGAAATCTGCTTAGTATGAAGCAATGTGCCATTATAAAAATCAGACTAGAAAGGGTTTGTTTGACTTTAGCTAGTTTCTCACCATAAACAGGCCAGAAGACAAAGCGGCGTGTGATGTGGATGGATTGCTACAGAGTAACAAAAACGATCTGGTGTCACTACATAGCTTAGATGTCAGACACTACAGATCAATCACTAGATACTTACAGCTCCAGTGAGCTGGCTCAATGCAAGTTATTCTGAATTGTTGATGCTTCTGGGTTTATGATGGACAGATCAACAGAAAGCAAACACTAATTAAGATTTCTTAATCAAGTGTTAGGAAGTTGATTGTACAGAATCTTAGACATATTAACATTATTCAGATTAACCAAAATAACTAGCCCAAGTTACCAATGAATTTGTCTCATCCTGATGAAACTGCCATACTTGGTCTTCATTTATAAAAAGCGCCTGGAAATATGCTCCTTTGTCCCGAGGACTAGTTTCTAAAATTTATTTTCAAAGCTTCAACTCAGCAACATTTTCAAATTCAACACACTGATAGTAGACTGATTAGGAAAATGTGGATTAGACAGTATGGAAATTAAGTTAATACCTCATTTCATTGCTCCAAATTGCTTCTGGAGTGTCAAATTCACCTAGAAAAATCTCAGAAAACTTTTCAGATTCATAATTTTCTAAGTAACAGACCATTGCTTCAGGTAAAATGTGTCCCAGCACACTCCGTTGTACTAGATCTTGTCCTTTTGCCTGCATAGAATGGAGACAGAATGATGGAAATGGCAAATGTAACATTTCTTGATGCTTATAACATGGTTTTAGCCTAGAATTGAGAGAAATGCTAGAATGGGGTTAAACCCATTTATATATGAATAGTGAACATACACCAAATGCTAGAGAAACTCAGGAATTCTGGCAGCATCTGTTAAGACAGAAACAGTTAACACTGATTCCAAAATGACTTATTTGGAACTACAGAACAGTTCCAAAAAAAGTCATACCAGACTTGAAACATTAACTGTGTTTCTCTCTCCATAGATGCTGACAGACCTGCTGAGTTTTGCCAGCAGTCTCTGCATTTGTTTCAGATTTCCAGCATCTGCAACACTTTGCTTTTAGATCATTTATAAACAGTGCTGGTTTACAGAATCACCATGATTAATGGGTGCCATAATCAATACTGCATTTGGATCTTTCCAAAGTTGCCAAGAATTGGAAGCAATTAATAGATTAAAAATGAACTTAATAGTCATAATATTGAACAGAAAATACTGGCCATGTGAAGAAAGAATAGTCAAAAGCCAAAGTCCTATATTAGGAGCACATGTAACACTGTCCTGGAATACACTTGGGTCAATGTTGTACTAGGTCTCATCCAAGTAGTAGTTATGGACAGGCAGCCAAAACCATTCTTTGCAAATTTCGGTTTCATGTCAAAATGTCAGGACACTTGAGGTGCCTTCGGGGGACTGGCTTGGTTATTTGTGAAGGAAGTTTCTCCAGCTGCTTGTGCTCAGGGTTTCCAAGTCTGAGAAGCAGCTGGAGTCACTACAGAGAATAAGGGAGGCTGCAAGTTTCCAAGATCGCACATTCTGGGTCCTGACACTTCACAAGGACGTACACGCACATGCGAGGGTACAGGCATGTTCAGAATACTAAATGGGTGGCCATCCAGAAGAGGACAACAAGGCATGAGTCTTTGGGGTTTGTGCTGCTCTCAATCTGCTACTCAACACTAGATCTTTAAGGAATACAGTCCAGATCATGGCACTAAAAAGCAAATACTTAGTGGGCAGACAAACATTTCAGTATGCATCAGGAGACCTGCATGGTACATTCCCAGTATAAAAGTGATCACAGGTGCAGAATACTTTGCAGGAGCAAGAAACTGAGCCAGAAGTTATACTGCCTCTCAGAATACTATTATATATAAGGGGAAAATATTGTGGCCCTGCAGTGAGACTTTCAGGAGTCAAGCAACAAAGCAGAACTTTGTAGTAATCTCTGGATTACACCCAGTGCCACATGTAATATGTGTAGAGCAGGAAAATAGGGAGGATTAAAGTGCGAATTGAAGCCTAGTGCAGGAAGGTGGGCTTCATAGTCTTGGGAGCTCAGACTAGCTTCGAGCAGGGTGGACCTATTCAAAAAAGCTCATGTTGTAGCTCAACAGAGCTGGTACCAGTGCTCTCAGAAAGAGATTCACTCAGATGTAGGAGAAATGGGAATCCAAATACAAAAACTGGAGGGGGGAATAATGTGCCTGAAAGTAGTGAATGCTGTATAGTACTACCATATCAAATAGGACTGGGTGAAGGAGGAATACAAATACACTGCGTTATCTAAAACAGTAATGAGTTGATTAAGGTTGAGTTACAAGCACAAACAGCCATGTAGAATATGATGTAGTGGCAAAGTATGGCTCTAAATATATTTTGAGGACTTGTGGATACCATGATTTACACTAAACGAGTTCAGATTTGTCATGAAATAGAAACTGGTAACAAATGCTACCTTAAGAAAGGTTTTTTGAGAAACAACTTGGTTAGCCAGATTAAATTAACCTTGATGGTTTAATTCACACTGGCAAGCACAAAAATGGATTTCTGCTAATAATTGTAAGCACTATGTTGCACAAAAGGATTTCAAGTAATAATAAAGTTTTATAATTATACTGCCAATTGAAGAAATGCACTCTATTGTTAATTTTTTTTGCCCCTTATAAAGAAAGGCCACATTATGAGATACAGCAGCATCACTAGGATGTGATTTGCTGAAACACAGGGGTTGGAAAATGAGGAAAGCTCAGCACCCAAGATCATTACTTTTCTACCTAACAGGCTAGTTGATATCTTGAAACAAAATGATTAAATATGGAAAAAGAGTAGGCATAGCAATAATTGAACGGAGGTTCAGAAGAAAGCAATAATACAAGAAAGAAAATTTGATTGAAACTTGAATCACAAAGAATCATACAGCAAGGAAACAGACCCTCTGGTCGACCAGTCCATGTTGAACATAATCCCAAACTAAACTAGTCCCAACTGCCTGCTCCTGGTTCATATCCCTCCAAACCTTTCCTATTCATTTATCCATTCAAATGTCTTTTACTCGTTCTAATTCTACCCGCATCCACCACTTCATCAGGAAGTTCATTCCACACATGAACAGCCCTCTGTAAGAAAACACTTTCCTTGTCTTCTTTAAAATCTCTACTCTCACCTTAAATGTGTGCCCTAGTCTTGAAATTACCCATCTTAGGGAAAAGAGAACCACCATTAACTCCACCTGTGCCTCTCATTACTCTATAAACTTCTTTAAAGGTCACTTCTCAACCTCCCATGCTCCAGTGAAAAGAAATCCCAGCCCATTCAGCCTTTCCTTATACTCAAACCTTCCATACCCAGCAACATCCTGGTAAATCTCTTCTGAACCCTCTCCAGCTCGATAATATCCTTCCTTTAACTGGGCGACTAGAACTAGACAGTATTGCAGAACAGGCCTCAACAATGCCCTATACAACCTCAACATAACTTCCCAACTCCTATACTCAAAAGGACTGAGCAATGAAGGCAAGCTTGTCAAATATGTCTTTTTAACCATCCTGTCTATGGGTCACACAAACTTTAAGGAATTATGTACCAGCACCGCTAGGTCCCTCTGTTCTACAGAGCTACCCAAGGCCCTACCATTAATTGTATAAGCCCTACCCTTGCATTCTGGTACAACAAACGCTTCCTTGCGTTTATCCAGACTGACCTTCATCTGCCATTTTCCAACCCATTGACCCATTTGATCAAGATCCCTTTGTATTCTTAGAAAACCTTCTTGGTTGTCTACAATGCCACCAATTTTGGTGGCATCCGCAAACTTACTAACCACGCCTTCTATATTCTCACTCAAACCATTTATATAGATGACATTCAAAAAGAGGACCCAGAAACAATCCCTGTGGAACACCGCTGTTCAGACCTCCATTCCGAAAAGCAACGCTCCACCATTACTATCTCCAGCCATTAAGTCAATTATGTATCCAATTGGCAAGCTCACCTGAATCCCATGTCACCTAACTTCACTAATTAGTCTACCAGGCAGAACCTTGTTGCAGGCTTTACTAAAATCCAAATAAACGTCTCCTCCTCTGCCATCAACCGCCTTTTTGCTAACTTCAAAAAAAAACTCAATCAAGTTTGAGAGACAATTTCTCTCACACAAAACCATGCTGACTATCTCTAATCAATTTTTGCCTCTCCCAATGTCCATAAATCCTATCTTTTATAATCACTCCAACAATTTACCCACAACCGAAGTCAGACTCACAGGTCTATAGTGCCCCGGTTTCTCCTTACAACCTTTCTTAAACAAAGGTACATTAGCCGCCCTCCAGTCATCAGGCACCTCCCCCGTAGTTATAGATGATGCAAATATTTCTGCAAGGGGTCTCACAATTTCCTCCCTTACTTCCCACAACATTCTGGGATACATTTGAGCAGGTCCTGGAGATTTAGCCACCTTTATATTCTTTAAGACCTCCCAAACTTCACCTTCTGTAATATGACCTGTTTTTAAAACAAAGTTTATTTCTTTGCTTGAGTCACTGCAAGCAATTTATTTTACACTGACCTCTTCGGATCTGAATGCCTGTTTCAGATGAGTATACTTCAAAAACCTAAATAGGAGAAAAAAGTTTCATAAATTTCATTGAGCTGTGCAAACCAGATCAAAAATACTTGTGTAGACCAATAATTTTTCCGGTTAGAATTTTTGATGATGCTCCTACCTTGCAATTGGAAGCACGTTGGAACCCGTGTACATCATTATAAAGAAAAACACACCACTAAGGTAAAGGCGAGGTAACTGTGGGTTATCTTGCATCACATGGTACAACAAGTTGGCAACTTTCTCAACCAGGATTGGATCAAAAGTAACCAACAGCTAAAATAAAAAGATGATTTAGTGAATCAATACTCAAGTATATTTAATTTTGTTCATCTCATCAGGTCAAAACAAAATGAATATAAAAAGATGGAACTGCTTGGGAAAAACTGCTGTGTACCTGAACAATGTGAGAGAGGCATGTATTGTCTGTAAGCAGCCGTTTAATTCTGGGTAGGGGTCTGATGATTGCATTGTCCTGATCCCTGAAATACAAAAAATGTTTGACATGCTTATGCATAAGTAGAGTTATTACAAACAAACACTGATACAGAACTGCCACATTACAGCATCACTTAAAAAAGTGCTTTCAATGACATGAAAATTCTTCCGTTTTCCATTGTCTTTATCTTTGGCTTTGTTATGTTAGTAGCATTGGGACACCCAGAAGTTGATGCCTATTTAACCAACTGGTTTAAAATTGATAACTAATGTGTTATTTAATTTGCCCAAAAGTAGAACTAGAACATAGAACAGTACAGGCCCTTCAGCCCACAATGTTGTGCCGACCTATTAGCCTACTCAAAGATCAAACTACCCTGCATACCCTACATTTTACTATCATCTATCATCTATGTGCCTATCGCTTAAATGTCCCTAATGTATCTGATTCCCCTACCACCACCGGCCATTCTGTGTAAAGAACCTACCTCTGACATCTTCCCTATACCTTCCTCCAATCACCTTAAAATTATGCCTCGTAATAGTCATTTCCGCCCTGGGAAAACGTCGCTGGCTATCCACTCTATCGATACCTCCCATCATCTTGTACACCTCTATCAAGTCACCTCTCGAACAGTAGCATCAATTACCAATGTTTGGCTGCATTTTTTTTTCCTGTCAAGTCACGAGCAGAGCTGGAGAATACATTGTTAATGTGTAACATAATTTTCAATTATTTTAATTTTCCTGCCCCCTCATACCTTCCAAATCTGCTTGATGGCAATCATTAATGCAGTTGCCAGCTTTTCTTTACCTATCCCCGAGAGTTTTTCTAGCATACCACTGCCTGTCTGTAAGATTTAAATCTGTCTATTTTACAACTAATGGTAATCCTCAAAAACACAACGTCCCTCCACAAACTGCAGAAGTTTCCATTCATAGACATTTCGCTAACCTGACCGAGTTCAGCTTAAAGGGATAATAATAAAATAAAGAGAAAAACACTACCATAGAAAAATCAAAATGAGACCTACTTTACAGCCATTTACCATTCCTCCCAATAAGATATACATTATGGTCCACAAATGATGATACATTTGGCCACAATTCACAGCAAATTCAGAACCCCACAGATGAAAAGACACTGGAGGTGGGACTTCGGATGGTGATGGACTTTATCATAAAAGTGCAGGCACATTTTCTCTCCTATAGAGGGGCTGAGGGCACCAGGGGTACTTCAAATGCAGCATAGCAAAACAATCAACTACAATGAAAATACATTAGCACTTCTGGCTGAAGGTGGCTAGATGCCCATTGGCAGCTGTTTCCTAAATTACAACAGCACTACCACTTCAAAAAAGTTTCATTCGGTATAAAGAGTCTTGGGATGTCTGGTGGTCATGAAGTGTAACAAATGCAACAATTTCCTTCTGATGAGTGAAATTGTTTCAATTGGTTTATCAATCATCATAACTTTTAGTATTCTAAAATCTATATTAGGTCCTGTTAACCTTCTCCTGTTCCAATAGGTTTTTGGCATAGTACCTTTAAAATTAATTTGTACGCTTCTCAAACTTTACATCTTACCAAAGAATACGGTGCTCAAAATTGCAGTCAATGCATCAACTGCGATTTAACACAATCAACTCAACATTTTCTTGCTTTCATTATTTATGCGTAAAACCCAGAAAATAATCTCAATTAATCAGTTTATACTTATTTATGCACAGCCATATTTCTGCTCCATCAAAAATATCACTTTGGGGAGTACTTAAGCACTATTACTTCACACTTATCAATAGTGACCTTCCCGGCATTTATTCCCTCTTCAGTCTCCCATATTCTTGGGAAGTTTATAACTCTGCGTACCCAATTGAATACCTTGCAATCATTTCAAATCCTCCTGTGCCTATGATCATTCATACAAGTTATTTTGATAACTAGGCCTCTGCTCTTCTAAATAAATCCTTTAAAACGAATGTCAAAACAAATGTCAAAATGAAGACACCTTCATACCTGCTGGGGTAATATTCACACATGGTAATGAGCATATTTAGAATAAGAGTAGCAAGGTCAGTTTCATTCAGCACAGCCTGCCCATGGGCTAAAAGACACCATTTTAGTTGCGGTATTGCCTGCAGTGCCCGCCAGCCATCCATGCCCTGTGCCCAACAACGAGTCTTTGGCGTCAATACACCGTTTTTCCAGAATTCTTGCATCTAGGTCAGAAAAGATATTCTTTAAAGCTGTGGCAACAGAAACACTAAATGCTAACAAGCAATGACTGAAGTTAGAGCTCATTATTTTGAAAAATAACATCCAGTTGCATGGATAATTTAGATGAGCAGGGAATGAGGGCATTGCCTTCCCAAAATCTACTAGAGCACTTCAACTGATATTGTGGTTTCCTCTTAATTGTTTCTTCAGCAGCTGATATTGGCTCAAGAGAGCAGTGAAGTCCTTTAGAACTCAAGCAGCGTTATAACCAATTTAATGCAAAGTTAATTAACAGGCCAATTAAACTTTAATCAAACAGCAAGCAATACTGTAAGTAAGTGATTGTAACAAAAAATAGCTTGGAAATGCCAATGTGTAACAATTTACCTCGAGTGCCAAAACAAGGAGAAAATGTGACTAAGAAAGAGAAATACTTCAAAGCAGTAAAACATTAAAAATGAAATTCACCTTTATTAACCAACTCAATGTTTTCCTGTAAATGTGCTTTTTTTGCTAAAATATCCATGAAAAATTAAATTATAAATACTGGAACAAGAAATTTCTCAGCTGGTTCAATTTTGTTGCAACTAATGCTGAAGGGAGCCAAGTACTTTTGGTCACACATGGTGTTAGGTCAGGAATCAATTCATTCACTTTCAAAACTAGTGCAGCAACATGTATTTTGAATTATATACAGAACTATCCAATGTACTTTGAAGATGTAAAGAACTTAACCAGTGTTAAGCTTTGAGAATATGACTATAGTCACATTCAGTCATGGCACACGTCTGAGAGATCAGTAAAACACACCTCTTCAAAGCTATAAGGACCAAGTCTCTCTTTGTCAGCATTTCCAAAGTACCATTCTTTTTCACTGTCTCTCTTCATATCTGGTGATGCTTCAATAACATTGCTCTGAAAATAAACATAACCAGCATGATTTCTCAAACATTTCAAACATTCTCAAAGCATGTTTGCAAATGAACCAATCATGCATACCTGCAATGGAACAGTAGCTCTGCTTGTATGAAGATGTGCAAGAGTAAGCAAATCCACAAGGATTCTAACTCCACTGGAATCCATGATTTCCTTAACATTTTTCTGCAAATTACAATTTCCTGATGTTCAATTCAATGGTTTGGATGACACTGATTATTTAGTTCAGTCACACAACATCACATCAAATAAGTATTTAACCAACTTGCACAAAAAAGGTGTTTAATAAAAACAGTGAGCCAGGCAACATTTTGAAACTTAGATACTTTCTCACCTTGTTAAGAATCAGTTTGTTTAGGAAAAGAATTAGTCGGTCTCTCTCCAGTTTGTCTGTACACTGCAAAACACAAGATCATTGTTGGCTGTAATTTATTGTGGATGAAATCTTGATCAACACTTCAATAAAGCCTAATGGAAGGATTAGGTCCTGACAATTACTTTGAATAAAGCATCACTAAAATGGCTGCTCAGTTTATAATTGTTCTGTTACTCAATGTTCACAAACTGAGCAAAATGAGCAGCTCAGCTTAAATTTAGGAAACAATATTCCTTGCCCAAGCAGGAGTTGGCTAGGTTAGTTTCTAACTCAAACTGCGGATTACATCAATTAATAATTAATTTTAATTATACACTTTATCACATGGATGTTCAACAACAAAGACTTGGGAGGAGAACAATTAGCACTCATACATGCAGTGACAACAAAACAGCTTCAAAAACATATCAAAGTCCTATCATATGGTGACAATAATATAACTAATAAAACTTACCAGAACCAGGGGAGGGTTGGGAGCCGGGGTGATGAAAGTCAAGATTTATACAGAAGTCTATTTATGGAATTCAATGCACTTAAAATTAATTGACGTACTAAAGACAAATATTTAGGACCATGAGGGGTGGTCAGTTTAAATAAGCACTTGGATCATTGTTTGCTTCCCTCCCAAAAACATGAACACCCATCATTTCAACTGTCACTTTCACTGCAGAGTAACAGGGTTTGAGCTCCTGTTTCTTTTATTCTTCATATTCAATATTTCTGAAGCATCAAATGAAATTTAGAGACCATCCTGAGACTTCCTTATTTCTAAGATTATTGCTAAGAAAATTAGTTTCATTAGCTTCAGCTCTGACAGTTGGAATGATTCTAAGCATAACAGAAAGGGTAGGTACTTAATAAGGGCCCAGCTACAACTCAAATTTCCTGGTTTTGCATGGCTGAAGCTCAAGAATCTTGTTTGCCAATGTTGTCATGAAACACATCCAGATAACTTCATCTGAGATAGTAGGAACTGCAGATGCTGGAGAATCTGAGATAACAAGGTGTAGAGCTGGATGAACACAGCAGGCCAAGCAGCAGAGGAGCAGGAAAGACCCTTCTGAAGAGTCTAGGCCTGAAACATCAGCTTTCCTGCTCGGCCTGCGGTGTTCATCCAGCTCTACACCTGGTTATCTCTTAACTTCATCTACTGAACTAGGTTTTGGCTTAATCCAGATAAGGTGTCCAGCCTGAAGATTCACTTCTCATATTTAATCTGAATACAAAAACCCAGCAAAACGAAATTCTCCAGCTGAAAGTAGAATGAATGGTTGTTAGCATTAGCCACGTGCTCAGAATGCAAATTGTCATCAGATGACAAGCGCAGAACTCATGGGAAAGCCAAACATTCCAGCCATATTCCACTCAAATGTCTTCAAAGTATCACTCAAGTTTTTTGGTTTTCTTTTGTCTGATCTTGGTAGAATATGAGGAGAGGGGAACAAAATAAGCCATTGCTGTATTGATTGATGACGTTCTCCATTTCAGCCTGTAGACCAAGGAGAGCTAATAGATGTTATCTACCTCGACTTCAAGGCGGCCTTTGACATGGTGCCGCACAGGAGGTTGCCGAGTAAGATAAGGGCCCATGGTGTTAGAGGCAGGGTGCTAGCATGGATAGAAAATTGGCTGTCTGGCAGAAAGCAGAGTGTGGGGTTAAAAGGGTCTTTCTCGGGATAGCAGCCAGTGACAAATGTTGTTCCACAATGGTCAGTGTTAGGATGATGAAGGAGCTGAGGGCATTCCAGTTAAGTTTGCAGACGATACAAAGATAGGTAGAAGGACAGGTAGTATAGAGGCAGCGGTGAGGCTGCAGAAGGATTTGGACAGGTTAGAAGAGTGGGCAAAGAAGTGGCAGATGGAGTAGAACGTGGGAAAGTGCAAGGTCATGCACTTTGGTAAGAAGAATAGAAGCATGGGCTATTTTCTAAATGGGGAGAAAATTCAGAAGTCTGAAGTGCAAAGAGACTTGGGAGTTCTAGTCCACGATTCTCTCAAGGTAAACTTGTAGGTTGAGTCAGTAGTCAGGAAGGCAAATGCAATGTTGGCATTTATTTTGAGGGGACTTGATTATAAAAGCAGGGATGTACTTCTGGAGGTTCTATAAGGCTCTGGCCAGGCCACATTTGGATTACTGTGCGCCGTCCAACTTGCATTACTAATAAATTCACTTTGTAAAATAAGGCTTCATTCACTCAGCACTTCAGCCACCAGACTAGAAGTGGTTAGTAAATCAGTATATTAAAAAAGGCTAAAGTTTCAGCTGAGTCAGTTGAAAATGCCCAATTCGAAAAACAAAACCCACAAGGAATTGCATTGGATTTTTTCTTCTAGTGCTGAAAGCACGTCTCTTCCAGTCATTTCAAATTCACATAATTGAACACACTAGACAGAGCAGCATACCATGGATGTTAATTCATGCTGTTTGGAAGCTGGCTCCCTGAAAAATATCACTTAAAATGTTCTAAACTCTGTGGACCTGTGGCCACTTAAAGCTCTGCTACTCAATTCACACCTAGTCCAGTTCTTTCATGATCCCTGTACTCTCACTAACCCAAATCCCAGACATGCAAAGTCTTCATTTTAAATTTCTTATCCTTGTTTTCAAATGTCTCCATACCCTCACCCCTCTCAACCTGTAATCTGATCCAACACCACAATCCTCGGACATATCTGCACTCCTCCAATCCGATATCCTGTACATCCACAATCTTAATTACTTCAACACAGTGGTGGCCATACCTTCATTTGTCTAGGCCCGAGATCTGGGGTATCCTCTCTACTCCTCTCCCCACCTATAAAGGCACAAAAACCACTTTGACCAAGCTTTAGGTCATCAGACCAAATATCTCATTTGGTTTGCTGTCATACTTGGTTTTGTAATTGTCCTGTGAAGCACTTCATTGATGCTTAATTATGGCAAAGCCACTATATAAATAGGTTTTGAATGAAACTCTGCCATCGCACAACAAGGGAGCCAATGGCCTAGTGGCATTATCGCTGGACCGTTAATCCAGAGAGCCAGATAGCGTCCTTGGGACCCAGGTTCAAATCCCACCATGGCAGATGGTGGAATTTGAAGTCAATAAATAAAGAATTTAATGAGGACCATGAATCGCTTGTCGGAAAAACCCATCTGGTTCACCCAATGTCCTTTAGGGAAGGAAACTGCCATCTTTACCTGGTCTGGCCTACATGTGACTTCAGACCCACAGCAATGTGGTTGACTCTTAACTGCCCAGGGACAGGCAATAAATGCTGCCTAGCCAGCAACGCCCTCATCCCGTGAACGAATTTTAAAAAAACTAGCCTAGTGCCAAATGTACATTACCACTTGGGGGTGGGGTGGGGATGGGAATCTTTTTCTCTTCAACAACTGACAAATGCTGGAAACATTCAGCAGGTCAGGCAGCAAATGCAGAGAAAAGCATTCAATTCATTGACCATTCATCACACCCAAAATGCCACAGATTTCCCAGCTAAGCATATTAAGAGTCAGGAAAACAAAAGACAGAGGTTTGAGATGGGTTGGAGAGAAAATATAACTAAATGGTTGTGTTGACAGTGCAAAAGTAAAGTTGGTAAATGAGGTTTCTACAAAACCAAAGAAGGGGTCCAAATTCCATTCTGATCTCTCAATCTAATGCTATTCAAGAGAAAGTTCACTGCAAGCTACACAGGCAGCAACCCATCTTTCTTAAACACTACAGCCTTCTGCAACGACAGCATTGAATTTAACAACTTTAAGCCTTTAACCACCCATTTTCTCTCAGAAATCACCAGCTGATAATGGAGGTTCATGACACCAGATCTGCAGAATGGAAGACGTGCAGATAGCTATTTGGGTGGCCTACAGTCCCAGCGGTCTACTCAGCTTTCTTCTGTCACATTTCTGCTCATGGTTGCTTTTCTACCTATGCCACATTTCCCATGGTCATTTCCACTTATTAGACAGCTAGTAGACCTCCTTTGGATCTATCAGTTCTTCTCCAACTGTATTTGCAGTGAAGCAGTTCATCTCTAGTATATTCCGATGATAGGTAGGTGACCTGAACAGCTAACTTACTTGCTCTCTCCACAGACCTTACTCAGAGTATTTGGTGTTAATTCAGATTTCCAGTATCAATAGCACTTTTTTTGAAGTTTGGTCAGACACTATCTTTGGTATTTAAAAAGGTACGAAATATCACAGTCTTTTTCTTTAAAAAAAATTACCAAGGCAAAGATAAGTGCGTCTTTATGATACAGCACATATTGCCAGCGATATAACTTGTACCAGACTGGCTCATGACATTTAAAGTGAATAAGGCTTCACTGAACAGTGTTGCACTAACTTGGACTTCAATTATCTGACAGTGGAGGACTCACTGTGACACAAATCACGTAGCTCAAGATCAAATCATCTTCCCTGACTAGTCAACATGGAATAGGATTCACCTGTGAAAGAACGCAAGACAGAGGAGGAATAGGCCATTTGGCCTTTTGAGCTGTTTTGCCATTCAATGAGATCATGCTGATCATCTATGTCAACACCACCTGCCTGCCATACTTTTATGCCCTCTAAATGTACACAAATCTATCAACTTCAATCTTGAATTATGCTTAACAGCAAAGCATCCAGACCCAGCAGAATTCCAAATTCAGACACCTTTGAAGTGAAGGAATTCCCTCTTATCTCAACCCTAAATGTTAAAGACTTATTCAGAGTCTGGGAACCCAGAGGACAAAACATCAACTACCCTGCATGAACTGGCTGTGACAACCTACCCACTCTGACTTGACAGTCTGTGCCCCATTTGCTACACAGCGGGTGACATACCCCAGGGAACACAGGCCAAAGCTGCCCTTGGGGCAACTCATTTCCTTTGGCACCATTTCAATCATTCACTTTCAAGCCAACTGAAACTTCTGCTTGCTTAAGAGCCCCAGGCATCTCTGGATCACTTGATAATTTCTGCCTAATGCATAAAAAAAGGTGCACATGCCAGGACACCATTTGGTGCATAGCATGAAATTCCCACAGCTATGAAATTCCCTTGTTGACAGCACCCACCTCCTCACACTCACACCCACAGACCTCTGCCTTCTTGAATTGACGTTAACTAGCACCTATAAGGGCAATCATGGGTGGACAATAAATGCTGACCTAGCCAGCAATACCTATATCCCATGATCAAATTTTCTAAAATCAGTCTACATCAGAATTTAAAACACAAAAGTTCTCAGTCTATGAAGTTGATTACAAAGTCAGAAGCCATTTGCAGATACAAAATTCAGAACAGGGCTCCTCTGTGCAAGGGGAAAACAAATAAGCCAGTGTTAAACCAATACAAAACAAAGCTATTTAAAGGGACAGTAGAAATGTTAGAGTCACCATAGCCATACCAGACTATAAGGCTGCTCTCTGGTTAAAGACAGACTGAATAGCTGTAGGTTAATCGGAGTGTCACCATGCCTCAGGCAAGGGGAGAGGTTGAAGAGGACAGTCCTTCATGGTAAACTCAACCCGTGGGGGAGTTGAACGCACGCTGTTGGCATCACGAAGCTAACTGACCCTTTAGTTATCTGGGTGGTACCCTACTTTTTTTTTTATAAATTCTTTCATGGGATATGGGCACCACTGGCTGAGCCAGTATTAGCCATCCCTAACCCCAGTGGCCAGTTAAGAGTCAACCACATTACTGTGGGTCTGAAGTCACGGGTGCCTGAAGAACATTAGTGAATCAGATGGGATTTTCCTGAAAAATCAAAAATGGATTCATTGGACTCAATTTCAGATTTTTATTGCATTCAAATTCCATCATCTGCCATGACAGGATTTGAAGCCAGATCCCCAGAACATTACCTGGACCTTTGGATTTACAGTCTAGCGATAATACTATAGTCCATTGCCACCCAACTGTATGCTTAAATAGGTAAGAGTTTCCATGATGGTGCAATTGGTTGAATTCCAATTCCTTCAGCATAAACTCTACAGCTTCCTAGCAACAGGGTAACTAGCACGGACATTTCCAAATACTGTCACGCAGAGAAAAAAATGGTTAGGTTAGATTAGATTAAATTTCTGCACAAAGAATCTAAGAAAACAGGAACAGGGAGAGGCCACTTGGTTAAAAAACCTCAATTCCTTTTGTTACAAAATACATTTGAATCATGAACTAAATATATCAATGATTTTCACTGACATCTTAGGAGCCAAAGTATACTTATAAATAAAGAAGTTATAGATATCTTGCTGGTACCAGTATCTTTGTTTTCATCCTCTTTCAACAACAGGATGTGAATAATAACCTCCAATTTTAATTTCATCTAAATGGAATTGTATCTAACCTGAACAAAAAGGTGTTTTGTGAAGAGTCAGACCACAGAGTGATTAAGTAGTAGCCAGCATGTCCAAACGCATAGTAAAAAGGGGCAGCCTTTAAAACATACACAAGTCATCCCACCACACATGGAGGGAAACATTCAAATAAATTCCTTGATAAACAGCTAAAATAAACCCAGTTCAAAAGAAGTTTTGATATCATTTTGCAAAGTGTATAACATATTAACAACTTCAAAAGTTATTTTTTAGTTGCAAAGTTCTAACATAACGAAATAAAATTGGTCCAATGTAATCCTCAGGAGCATAGTTCTGGCAGGAAGAAAATCAAGTCTGAAATTCCAAGACTAGAACAACCTGTGTCTTAAATGCTACTGCAATGAAAATACTGAATTGGTACCATTGAGAAAATTAGGTTCCATACGCAGCATGTCTAAGAGATGCGCTAAGCTAACAAGAACAAAGTTCAAAAGATTTGTTGTGCTCACCCTTTCCAGCATTCCAACAATGTATTTAGTATCACTGAATGGTCCTATCTCCTCATAGCATTTGCCGTAAACAATGGTCAAAGCTTGTAAACATAAACACTTCATATTCACTTTAGGGGTAAGCAAGAAGCGATGATACAACTCATTGAAAAATTCATACCTGCAATAAATGCACACATTGAAACAAGGTATAAAAGGGAGAAACATAATTAAACAAAGAAATTTGTTACAGGAATTCAGGCTTACGATCTCTTGATTGTACTCGTCTCTTCATTTTCACCTTCCTCCAACAATAGGCGTAGATAATAATCTCCAATTTTGATTTCATCTGCAAGGCACTCATACCTAACCTGAACAAAAGGTGAAAGAGAGTTGAAAATCTCCATAGAAACGAAAATTAGCAGCATCACTCTGCAGTAGCTGACAAATCAGACGTCACAAAATGGATTCTTCCAAGGAAGATAGCACACAAGAAAACAAAACAAGCAAAGCCAAAACCAAAAAATGGGCAAAACGACAAAAACAAGCAAAACCACAGACAAAATTAACAGAAGTATAAACAAGCAAAAAATAAAAATGGGCAATAGCATTACAGCCTTCATAGGAAAATTCTGGGCACTTAGTTTTAGCTGGTCAGTGTAATAAGTTTTCTTCAGTTTTAGTAGAAACCTACCAAATAATGCTAAAAGTTCAAAATCAAGCCAAAGTGTTGATTTTATTTTGTGAGCTTTTAAATATTCAAGCAGACAAAGTTTTAAAAAAAAAAAAAAAAAAAAATCCCAGCTGGTATTAATACTCAATAAGTCAGATCCCAGAGGTTTGTTAGCTCCTCATGGATGATTGTTAATATTGTGGAGATCAGTTACTGAACACATTCCTAAGAAGCTGTCGATGCCAGTTTTAACTAAGAATACAGCATTAAACAAAGTTCTAAAAAAGACTATGAACTATATTACATTGGGCAAGGGGAGGTTTAAAAATATTCTAGAAATATCAAAAAAAAAAGACTCTCATTATTCCTTTCATTCCAGCAAGATCCTCAAAGACCCAGATGTTAGTGAAGACACCACGTCCACACTGAATTTCCTTGCTCAGATTCAAGATGGGACAGCTACAACATTGTTTCTTTCCACAAATCTGTGCAGTCACCAGAAACTCATCTTATTCATCCGATCTCTCCCCAAGACATTGAAAACAAACTGCAAACTAAATTTACTATCGTGCAAGGTTCATGATGTATTATATGGAAGTTTGGGTTTCAGATTGGGCAGTATCATGTATAGATTTAAGTTTGATTTGTATTTCTATAATGTGAGTTAAGGAAGGGAGGACAAATTATCATTTAGGGTTGAGTGGCTCTAGCATGTCTGGAACTCATTTACATATCTTTTGAATGAGGCTTTAAAAATATTTAGAAAAAAAAAGGTAGAAGAGAGGGAAGGAAATGGACTGTTGCCAAGACAGAGACAATAAGGGGGTGGTTTAACGTCAGCAAGACAAAACTTCAAAATTAGAAGGTTGGGGAAGAGAAACTTAAGGAACTCATATTGAGAAAGAAATAAATAAATAAATAAATAAATAAACTGATAACACAGCACACTTAAGGGTCTCCGGAAGAAACATTGCCCAAAGATAGCAGTGAATAAAGTTGTTAGCCAGAAACAAACCAAGTACAGCCATGCCAACTGAAAAAGGAACCTTTAAAGTGGAAGCAGGGCAACCCTTCACTGAGTTTCAAGAATCTGTAAGGTTGAGGGTAAAAAGGGTGGAATCTTTATTTTTGATATTTGTAATAAGACACATTTCATCTGGTTCTTCTATAGCCGCTTAGAAAAATTCTCCTTTTGTGTTAAAGGAACTTCAATATTCTTGTATTAAAAGTATATGGACAGCCTCTTGTCTATATGCTTACAGACTACCATGGTATCCAAACTGCAAATATAAAACTTAGTCAAACAAGTCAGGTTCCACTCTGGAATCTGTCTTGGTCAGTATCATCAGCCGGGATCGTAACTATGCAATCCATTTCAGAACAAATTCACAAGTTCCCTGTTTTCATTTTTCTGCAATGTTTTACACTCTGACACACATACTGACCTGACCAACTCTCTGCATTTCTCGTTATGCAATTGGACTCCTGTTGCTGAGAAATAGGAGTTTCTTTTCCCCCCCTTTACTTTTGCTGAAACTTCATTAAAATGTATGCGAACAAACAGACCTCTAAAACTTCTTGCACAAGCCCAAGAACACAAAAATGAAACTAAACCAAGTCTCCTTTTCTTAGCACAAGATGCAAATTAAGCTTGAAGTCAGTTGTTCTTAACCCTTCATAGTAACAAATTATACCTTAAGAATGTTCTTGTTGATTCTCAAGACAAATCATAAGCACAATTGTGGAACAAACCATGGCAAAGGCAAATCCGGGAATTAGAGGATTAGATTTCAATTCCAAACAATATTAAAAACTGGTTAGTTACAGTAGAATCCAATTCAGCTTCAAATCATGACTAGCTAGTAATGTATTTGGAAGAAAAAAAAAAGAGATGCAATATAAATTAAATGGTATAAAAAGGAATATAACAGACACCTGGACATTTAAGCACATATATTTGAAGGTGGTAGGATAAAGTTGAAAAACATACAAGATTCCACACTTTATAAATGACAGGTATAATTTGCATGCTTCATCTGGAAGAAATGGGTACAATCTTTTGCCTCATGGAGAAAGGCTAACACGCCGACTTTTTTTTTTAAAAAAGGGGCGGGGGGAAACCAGTTTTACAGTATGTGTCTTTTCTCCCCCAAAGCTTTACACACAAGGACCCAAGTTAAGCACGTAAGGGGTAAGCAAGGTATATCACATTTGACATGATTTAGTTGATTGGTACAATCTAACGATTTGGTGTTGCCCTTCAACTGTCAAAATCCAGCATGTAACTAATTAGAAAACTAAGATGTGAAGCAGCTGTTATCTGGAGGTCAGTTACGAGAACACATTCCTACAGCCAAAGCTGCATACTAAGCATCAGCTCACTTCTAAGTGAGAGTTCAAACCCTATTCCAAAACTGAAGCTAACCCATCAATGCAGTACGGAGGAGTGTTACATTGCCAAATGGTACAGTAAGGCATAAAGCAGCTAATTTAAGATGACAGACCTGTTCTACTGCTGATCAATAACCCTTCAACTAATAGAAACAAACTTTCCCAAGGCAGTTTTGTATATTGGTCTCGGGTGAAAAATACTCTCAGCCACAGCTGTTTGAGGCAAGATGTAACTTTGCTGCTATCACACATTGTGATTTGAAAGCCAATGTCTATAATGTGAGAACCATTCCAAAAATTCAGTCTAGTCCAGTTTCTTTCCTAGACGTACCAATCTTATCAAAGCCCCACATTCTGGACACAATTAAACTGGTTTTCTGAGGCCACAGCTCATATAATACCTGGTCAGACGCATTGCATTTGTTTTCCTGATGCAATGTGTGGGTGGTCAGATAATAGAAGAAAAATTTAGACCGAGTTGCATATTGGTAACAGTAGTCAAAATCTGTCCAGTATAAAACATTTTAATATATTCATTCATGGGTGTGGGATTACCGGCTATGCCAGCATTAATTGCCCGTCCCCGATTGCTCTGAAGAAAGTTGGAAGTCCATCACATTGCTGTGGGTTTGATATCACATGGGCCAGACCAAATCAGCGTAGCAAATTTCCTTCCCTAAACAGGACATTAACGAACCAGATGGGTTTTTACAACAAATCAAAAGCGATTAGTGTCACTATTAGGTTAGCTTTTTATTCCAGACTTCTACAGAGTTCAAATGTCACCACCTGCCATGATGGGGTTCAAACTCTTACCTCAGAATATTAACCAGGGTTAATATTAACTAAATTTTGGTTAAGATTGATAGAAAGAATAAAATGAACAATTGCATTTAATAACTTCAGCTAGAAAATCAATTTCTCTTACTTCAAATTCCTGGTGATTCCAAGAAATAACACTAGCAATTCCCAATTCCTTGTCAATGTTAAAAGCCCTTATTTCTGCTTCAAATGCATCTCTTAATTCTTCTCTTGTTTTGTAATTCCAGATTAAGTTAGATTTGGCATGATCCATCTGAAATCTGAAAAATCAAGAAAAGCTTTTATTTCAATTTGTTTAATAAAGTTATGAAAATTAGAATATTAACTATACTTGGACATCATTTCCTATAACTAAGCTAAGCTATCAAAAATAAGCTAATTATAGACATGAAATACTTCCCCATGTCTGTGTGTTAAATCGAAGACTCTGAACAAAGTTATTTGACATATCCTTCTTATTCTTTAGTTAGATTCAGTACTCATGGTTAAGCTATTACGATCCAAAAATTAAAAAAAAAAGCCTGTTATGAACCACAATTTTCTTCAATATGTGCCCATCAAGTATTTTCAGTTTTGAACAAAATAAAACAGAAGCAGCGTGGCTGAGTTATTCAATACATTAGTAAAGTTCAAGTATGCCTGAAGGATCTTAAAAGCTCCTTGTAAAATAACCTGCAAGATAAAGTTATCAGAAATATATTTCTTCCAGAAAAGTTTAGTTTCACTACTGACAGTACATCAGCACAAGACAAATGCGGTCCATAGCCAAACACGTTCATATGCAACAAAAACAAATTGCTGGAAAAGCTCAGCAGGTCTGGCAGCATCTATAGACAGAAATCAGAGTTAACGTTTCAGGTCGACGCCACTTGACCCAAGAAGTTAGCTCTGATTTTTCTCTACAGATGACACCAGACTTGAACTTTTCCAGCAATTTCTGTTCTTGTTTTTGATTTACAGCATCTACACGGTTCTTTCGGTTTTTATTAAATTCATACGCAACCCATTAATTCACGAAAAGGCATCCAGATGAGCACACTGCAGTATTAGCCACAGCTTCCTGAGAGGAGTGAGAAAGCAAAACAGCAGACGTTTCAACTACTACTCATTCCTAATACATGGAGGGAAATGAAAGTTACAGTTTGAAATATAAGCATGTTTTACTTGTAGTAAAAGAGGTCCCAGTTTGCTTCTATTTTAATCCTTTGTCGCCTTTTTCTTAGAACAACTGGTTTTTGGTTGGCATTCTATAAATCAAAGAAGGAAATTGGCGTTAAATCATTGGTTAAAACAATATTGATACATGCAAGTTTACAACTACTCATGAGGCAGATAACAATAGAATTCAGCTCTAATTCTCCAATTTGGGTGCTTAATGCTTATACAATTGAGGTTATATTTTGAAAGTGTTTCTCAGTAAGAACGTTATGATTAACTTACCATAACCTTAAAAAAAAAGTGAAATTCTGGATGTGGAATCTGAAAATAAAGCCTCTAAGGATTGTTAAATAAAGGTTTTAGAATTTGCAATGTCTGTGTGTTAAATCAAAGACTTTGAACAATCAAAGTTATTTGACGTATTATCCTTCTTACACTAAGATTCAGGACTCATTATTAAGCTATTACCATCCAAAAGAAAGAAAAAGCTTGTTGCGAACCACAGTTTTCCTCAATACATGCCCATCAAGTATTTTCAGTTTTGTAAAAAATAAAACAGAAACAGGGTGGCTGAGTATTTGGGTAATGCAGCTGATCTTAAAGATAAGATGGAATGGTAAAATATCAATTTGGTCTAGTTAATGTTGAGGTGACAGATGTTAAAGAAATATCTGTGGATATTATGTACCTGGACTTCCAGAAGGCATTCGATAAAGTTGCGCATAAGATATTAAAGACAAAAAAGCATGCATAGAATTGCAGACATGCCTCTATAAAAAGGGACAGGGAATTGGCTAAGAGATAGGAGACAGTATGGATAATGGGTATTCACAAACTGGCAGTATTTGATCAGTAGTGATGCTGGGGTCTTTGCTGGGACTTCAACTTCTCTATTTATTCTTAATTATAAATGATAAAAGAAGAAATAGAATTATACATCCAAGATTGCTGACTATATAAAGAGACGTGACACAGTAAACAGTATAAAGCAATAGAACATTGACAGGGAAGATACATTGACTAGGTGAAACTGTGACAATTGAAGGTTAATGTGGGTATGTGTGAAGTCACCCCCCTCTTACTTTAAGAAAACATTTTAAAAAGATGAAAAAGTAGGAACTGTGGGAGAGCAGATAAATTCAAGGAATTCAAATACAAAAAAAAAAATCCTTCATAAGCGAAAAAAAAACTTAATGAAATTTATGCCTCTTATTCTACGGGGTCTCAACACACAAAGGAAGTTATGTCACATCTATACAAAAAGTTTGTTTAGACCTCACCCAGAGCACTGCACCTTAAGGACAAGATATTAAATTGGGGAAATATAGATTCGCCTGAATGATACCTAGGCCAGAAGAGCAAAATGAGAATGGGCTGCTTATGGTAAACCTACATTCACTTCAGTGGTTATTCTAGTATAGGAATCAGTGGTTTTATGATGAAGGTAGTTGATAGCCTGTCTCCATCTGTTCTATTTCCTCAGGTAGGTTAAGTCTAGAAAAGGGGTTATAACCCTTTAAATTACACTAGGCCATTTAGTAATTCTACAGGGGCACTTCTTCACTTGAGGGGTAGTGAAATCTGAAACTCCTTCCTCCAAGATGTTGTCGAGACTATGTCCGAAAACTTTAAAGCAGGAATTGGAATTGTTCAGCAATGGGTATTTAGAAAATCAAAGCAGTAAGTGGAGTTAAGATTCAGATTAACCATAATTTGATTGAATGAGTCAAGCAAGTTAAAAGATCTGATAGATTGGTCTGCATCCCAAGACATTAAAGGAATCTAAGGAATTACAGAATGAAAAACAGAAAGGTTAAAAGTTCAAAAGAACGAAGACCCTAACCATGTCAATTCAACATGCTTATTTATTCAAGCTCCAGATACAACCACAGTTCAATTTTCTTTCTGGAGAAGCAGCAAACACTAGGAACTTGATATTAAGATTATTTTAGAGCTTAAAGTGTTCTTTGCCTTATACTGTCAGATCAAGGCTGCTTGACAAATGCCTACAAGTAATTGAGGTAGAGTTTCCACCGTTATTCTGGGTTATTTGGTACCAAAGGATCAAAATCAATGTAATTCATGCAACTGATTTGTGAAACTTTTAACCAACTACATTTAGTGCAACACAAATTTCTGCCAGTTTAGAAAAGTCAGTCCTGTCTACTGAAAACTACTAGAATGATTTATTCACCACTAGCAGATTACATTATATGCACTCATTTTCAGACAAATTAGGTGGCTATAAATTTAGATTTTCTTTGGATACAGTGCACAATTTAATAGCTTTAGAACGCAATGTTTAAATATTACAAAAAACTGACCACGATAGTCCAAAACATCTGGTAAACATTTGTGCATTTTGTGAAGTTGACTTGCAGCCATTTAAAATCAGGTTACTCAAGTATTAATGACTGATTAAAAATGCCTTACATTGTGAAAATTCATCTTCAGCTGTAGTAAATCCAATTGCACCAAGTTATCACACAAATATTTCAAGCAATGCTTTTAAAAAAATGTAAGGGGAACAAAACACTTCTAAATTATTGCAATTACCCACCAGATTAGCAAGTGTGCTGAAAGCAGAAATTATTTATTTATATTATGCATTTAAATCAGCACACCGTTCCATGTTATAGCATAAGGCAAAGACAAATCAAATCCCAACATGAGATGCTGAATGCAACTGCTACACCAGGTACTGAAAATGCAGAATTGATGTAGCACTGAAGCGTGATAAGATGAATTTCATAGTGCAGAGGCAAAGGTGCTCAAATGCTGTGCTATTACTGATAGAGTTGAATGGACAAGGTGTGTGTCACCATCAACCAGGTGTCAAACATTGACATGGATGAGGACATTGACCCACAGACTGAAGAGGTAGGGTCGCATTTGACCATGCAGCCACAGATAAATTAGGTAGAAATAAAATAGTTCAAATGCAGTTAATATGACATCAGCTTAGTCACATGCTCTTTAATCTCCCTATAACAGATGTAACTATCGCCAATTGGACCTTCTATTGGTCCTGAGTATAGCCCTTTTTTTGGAGGAGGGGGATCCATCAAACGGACTTAGAACACATGCCCAGAATCTTTCCAGTGTCAGGATACAAAGTATCTAATCCATAATGCTCACTGGAATTTTTTTTTTTTTGTTAAGTTGTCAGTCTTGCTAGCCTGTCCTGAGTGAGGGCAACATATTTCTTAATGAAAGGATCCAATTTAGAAGAGGAAGCAAAGTCAGCATTTTCAGTATCAGATCCTCGTCTACTCTCCAGCAGCCGTTTCCTATGCTGCATGTTTCACAAAATAAAACAATTGCTATGACAGGGACAGCTTCTTTACAAAATCATTACCAATGTAGGTAAAAAAAGTGCATTGGATCATCCAGCTTAACCTTTAGCAAAACCTAGGTCAACGTACAGAAAAGCAACTACACCAAGTACAGGCGCATTAAGTCAACATGCATAACTATACACCAACAAAAAGCAACTCTTACTTACCAAATTATTCCTGTCCTGCTTTTGAATCAATAGCAACAACGGCGTGAGAAAAAAAAAGGTAAAAAACTTAGAGCAAAGTGAAACTAAATTTTCTAGAAAGCAATGGTCAGCACTTTATTAATACAAATTGAGAAAAAAAACACTGACTATATGAACAATTCAATAGATTATAATAGCCGATCATTCTCTGGGGAGAAGAAATGCATTCCCCCTCCATCTTATATGGCAGTTTTATATAGTTAAAAATTTATATAAAACCATTAAACTTCAATCCTGAAATATACTTGTTATAAAATAGTTTACAAAAGATTACATCATTCTTTTACATTACTAAAGACAATGTCTGTTTAAATTGTGCCGTGTTTCATCTTGTAATCTGTTCATATGATGCCCCTGTCGCAATAATATTTGAACTGAAATGGTAGTTTGAATCTTACCATGCAAGAGGCCATATAACCTTTGTTAGTGTCAGTTCTTTGAAACAGCAATCCAAATAGTACCCTGCGCCCTGCACTTTCCCCACTGACAATCTTTCCTTTTCAAACATATATACCCAACTCCCTATAGAAAGGGGCAATTGAATCTGCATCCAGTGTATTTCAATTCCACATTCCCATCTACTCAATAG